AATCACAAGGTTGGAAACGACCTATAAGATCATGTAGTCCAACCGTCTCCTCATCACCATTGCCTCCACATGTTTGAACAACCCTGAATTCCAGTATCTGCAGTCTGTGCTGCTCTAAGGACCGCTGAGCTCAGGCACTGACCCAATGCGTTGGTTGTGCTCCTAGCATTGCTGTGTCTGTGCCCACAGCAGTGGGCAGCCACGTGCTGCTGCGTCTGCTTTGGGACCTCAGGCATCTTCCGTACTGGGGATGTCTTTGGGATCTTAAACAGTGCTGTGGGAAGTACTGCGGGGAAGAGGGAGGAGGAAAAAAAGGGAAAAGAAAAGCAATTTCTTACAGAGATCCAAGTGTTCAGTACTTGGTGTCCTGTATTTTTGTTTTTTGAATGTGGTGTGATTGCACATCAACTTTTCTGTAAAATGTCTGTCTTTTGATATATCAGTAAAACCAGAGGAGGTAATAAGCTCTGCTGCGGCATCCACAGATGGCTGTTAAATTGGAGAAGCTGTGTGGTGGTTCTCAGGTGGGAGCAGGTCTAGGCAGGTCTGCGCACAGAAGGGAGATGCTGTGGATGGCGCTTATGTAAAAGCAGCGCCAAGGAGATGTGGGGCTGTGGTGCATGAGACGCCGAGGGCTGACCTGTAACTCTGTTGTGGCTCAAAGGCTGGGTGCCCCTTCTTGTGTTCTGATGGTTACTGAGCAATTCTCAGATGACATGAGTCTGAACAACTTTATTACAGTAATTATTGTGTTGCTTTACTGTAAAACTCGTTACTATCACATTGGCAGTACGAGCTGTGGGCTCACTTTTTAAGCAGATTAGCCACCCAGATAATGGGAATCACTTTTTCTTTTTTGAAAAAGAAAAAATGGTGGAATTCTGAGAGCTTGCAGCACTGGTGTGATACCTGGTGTGCCATGCTTCCGTGTGCAGGAGGTGCTGAGTCCTGGAAATGCCTTGGGAGCCTCCAGCACCTCCTTTCCTAAGGAGGTCTGATGCAGCCCCTGCTTGGTGGCTGCCATTGAAAGGCAGGGAGCTAAGAACTCACTTTCGGAAAGCTTGTTTCTTTCTCCGTCCTTATGCTGTGCTGCACTCCCTCCAGCCACACACTGTGGCTGATGATCCCTTCTGGGGCCAGAAGTCAGTTTGAGAGCCTGCAGTCTTCACATGCAAGCTGCTGGCCCTGCTTGCTCATGAGCAGTCATACAGGGAGTATCCTGACTGCTGGACTTGGCTTCCCAGCTCTTATTCACAATGCAAATCTTCTTTCTGTATTCCAAGTGAACTGAAGTATGCTGTGTATCACGGGAGCTTTCTCAAAATTGGGTCACAGAAGTGCTGGTGGAGGGGTTGGTATTGGTGCTGGGCAGTCGGGACGTGTGTAAAGTGCAAAATTTGTACTGAGATGTTCATGAATGAGCTTACTGTCCCTCTGATTCAAAATCTGGAGGGCTAAATTGTAGGTGTCTTTGGCAGTGGCTTTCTTTTATTTTATAGGAGCAAGTAAAATAGTAAGTAAAAAGAACTATACGATAGCCTTTGTGCACCCGAATAAGATGCACTTCCTACAAAACTTGTCTTCCTGGTGCCCCATGGTTCCCCTTCTGGAACCCAACAACCTGTGAAATGTTTAGAACAAGTGTCAGTAGTTTTCATGGAAAGCCAGAGCCTGGGAGCCTGCCGTGGGCTCATCTGTCCAAACAAGTCCAAGGCCAGCTGCCAGCCTTCCCACTTCTGGGCTGTGGGGGCTCCTCGTCTGGACTGTAGACGAGCCAAGCAAATGCGAACTTGGCTGTGGAAAGAAAAAGCCTCAGTGCTGCATCTCGACGATGATGGGCTGTGTGTGCCAGGTCAGGATGGTGCAGCTTTGCTCTGTGCTGTGTAACTGCTGTCATACCTCAGCAGCACTGGGGCATGGGTGTCAGCACCTTTATGAGTTAAGTCGGGGGAAATTCAGATTTGCAAAAATAGCAGCTGTTCTGAGTGTGCCTTAAGTGTTATGGGAGTGAGACAGATTCCCAGGTGGCACTGAGGAGCCCTGCGGAGCCCCCCCAGCAGCCCTGGTGCTGCGCTGCTGCTGGCTGCTCGCTGTGGGGCTGCTCTGAGCTCACCTCTGCTTGAACGAGAGATAAAGTAGCACTGTGCTGGTTTTTTGAGCCTCAAAATTGGAGAGACTGAAATGCTGAGGTGTTTTTACTTCTGTCTGGAGGCAGGGATCTAAAAACTGTCAGACTGTTAGAATTTAGGGGGCTTCCCCTGAAAGCAGATCAACGAGATGTCCTCTCCCCCCAGTCAGCGGCCATTTCCCCACAGCAGACCTTGGGAACCGGCTGCTCGCTGCCATCCTGAGAGGCTGCAGCACAACGGGTGACTCGGGCTCCTCGGGAACCTCCAGCACAGCCCTTGCTTGAGGAGCACCCCTGCCCTCCCGTAGGCACAGGCTGCGGGTGTGTGGCTGCGTGCTGGCAGGGCGCACGGCGTTAATGGGAGCGCTGTGTTCCAAGCAGTAAAACGTGCTTTTCTGCAGGCGGTCGCGAAGGCGGGGAGTGTTTTAACAGCTAAGAATTTGGTATATTCCCTTTAACTAAAGTAGCGAAATTAATCCTCTTAAACACTGTGTGTGGGGGGAGGGAGAGAAATTAATTCCTGAATAGTACTTAATCCTGAGGAGAAGGCAGTATTTGAGAGAACGCTGATCTGTAGAGCAGTGCAGAACCAATTGGAAGCTGGCTGGGGATTAGTTCAGTTTCCAGTTGTAAATGAGCGTTGCGTTAAAGAAAGCACTACTGTGCCTAGCGGAGGAGATGCAATGAGCTGAAATTGCTGAGTGATGCATCCAGCTGTGTGGCAGAGACAGGGAGTCCTAAGACACATGTAATTATATGCAATAATCTAAAGACAACTTTGAAAAAATCAAGCTCTATGGAGCAACCTATGCAAGTGTATTATGCTGTAAATAGACAGTCTAAAACCAGCAATTGAGTGGTGATCATAGCATCTGGCATACGAGGTGAGCACCAGGCTGGTAAGAGAGCCTGAGAAGGGTAGTTTGCAATAGGGCCTGGTGCATCTCAGCAACGCACTGGGCTCTCTGGGACATGTGGGCACGGTGCTGGGTCCCTGTGGTGTAACCAGGTGGGAGCGCTGTGATGTGATGGGGAAGGAGGGGTGGGGGGGCACACTGAACAGTAGGGGTGGCAGTGGGGCTACAGTGAGCAGCAGGGCCAATGGAAGGGAGCAAGTGGTGGTGTTTTGCTGTGGCTGCTTCTGCAGCACCACGTCACCTGAGCAGTTGCCCTTTGCAGTCCTGGGGCCTCTGCTGGCCCAGCCTTGGCGGCTGCTCAGGGACTGAGGTGCTGCAGAGCCACAGTGCCCTCTGCTAACTTCTCTCTGGGTGTGGAGAGGAAGGGTGAGGAAATGGGTAGGCGGCAGGAAGGTAGTTGTGTTAGAGGTGGGCAGGGACAGGGGGCCTGGCCTCCTTCCTCTGCCAAGTGCGGTTTCTCCTCCTCTCTCCGTGCCCTGCCAGCCAGCCTGGCGCCAGGGTGAGATCTTCTGTGTTTTGCTCCAAATAAGCCGTAATTGTTAGAAGCAGCTGTAGCCACTGAGCTGAGAAGTGTTAATAAGAAATGTTGTTTTTTCGTTTGTTTTGTGTGGAGCAGATAAAATTATTCCATGGCTTGTTCTGAAGTGACGTGAAGGTATGCTAGTTCTTAGATAACCATTTGTATTACGTGGCGTGGATGTGACTGATCGACCAAGTCAGAAAAGCCTCTGCTCTTGTTACCTGCGCAGCACCAGCAGCAGTGCAGGGCTACAAGCTGATCAGTGTTAGCATCATTGATGCAGCAGCTGAGAACGATGTGGTTGCAGCTGTGAAGTCCTTAGTGATCTGAAGCGATACACATTGCTGCGGTTTGAGGGCAGCGGCTCTGTTGCCAGGCAGCACATCTCAAACACTGCTGGGCTTCCCCAGCTTTGGTTACTGATGGGGTGTCAGTGAGAAGGGGAGCAGCCTGGGGAGAGACCTGTGTCATCAGCAGGCAGTTCGAGGGGTGGCTTTCCCCCTGCCGTGGGTAAGGAGCGAGCATAACTATGGAAATCCAGCCTGCCCTTTTTATTAAGTATTACAGCACCACCATCCTTCAGTTTTCTACAGCACCAGTAAAACAAATTTCTTAATTTCTCTGTGGATATGCAAAGACTCAGAGTGCAAAGCTACAGAATCAGGATTCGATGGCCAAGGTTCCTGCGTCCAGTTCAGTTCTTGGGTTCATATGAACTGTTCTCTGAAGTGTGTTTACTTTCCCGTGTAGCATTTTTGCTAGGAATGGTTTGCACAAGAACACGTATATCAAAGGATCCATGCAGGTGCTTGTGGCAGCCAGCCAAAGAGTGCTCTCCTTAGCAACAAAAAGCTGGTTCTGCAGGCAGCAGTGCATCTGGGTTGTCATTTGACTCAGGGTGTAGGGAATGGATGGGGGCAAAGCAGAAGAACATGGTGAAAATGATGAAGACTTTCCCCTTGACCCTTTGTTTCTTTTTGCTTGCTTTCTTCCATGTTTTCGAGTAAGACTTGTACACCTTCTTGGCAATAATTACATAAAACAGAAGCTTAAGAATGAGACAAACTGGCAGATGTAATCAACAATTTGAGTCCAGGGTAGCTCTTCAGTGAAGCATGCTTCTTCACCGACTGTGGTGTTGCTTTCTTGTTCAATAGGATCAAGTTTGGCACAGAGAGAACCAGGAAAAAGAGCCAGACCAGACCCATGAGGATCTTTGCTGAACTCACTTGCTGCACCCAGAACTTCCTGAAAGGTCTCGTGATCTTGAGAAACCCATCAGAAGCAATGAGACTCAGGAGCACTGTGCTAATATAAATGGTGTCATAGAATATTATGGCTGAAAAGCAAAGACAAAGGCCTTCAGTTGCCATGGTCCCAGGCCAGAGTCTGTTAGCATTCTCAGGGGAAGCATCAGAGTCATTGTAAAATCAGATACTAAGTTATTGTTCAGGTAGACAATGAAAGTCGATGTACTTGGAGTATGGAAGAAAGCCCATATGGCCAGGCTGTTCAGTGTGAGTCCAGCAGGAAGCCGAGCGTGCAGAGCGCTGGGAAGAGCCGGTGGGTGGCTGTGGTGTCACGGTGCAGAGCTGGGCGCTCTGCTGGAGCCACTGCTGGTACTCTGGTTTGCAAAGTCTCCAATTCTCAAAGTAGACTCGGATAAAAAGGGGAGAGACAATGTAAAGTATGACTGTTTGTATTCAGGATGACACATTCCTCGTTATTATTATTAGCAGGTTTATACAAATGCACAAAAATCTGTCAAATGTGCATTAAACTCAACAACGTTATATGTAAAATTCTGTCAAGGGTTGTTTGCAGAGTAGTGAAGAGTTGAAAGGTTATAGCAGTGGAATGCCCGGAGAACCGTTTGTGTTCACATGGAAATGTATTCCAGTATGGAGTAGAGATTTTGTGGTTGTGGTTAAAAAGCCCCCCAGGTGCCTCTGGGAAAGCGAATTCTGGTATTTCTTACCCAGCACACACCACTCTTCCTTTATCAGCACAGGTTTTAACATTTTTGAGAATAGGGTGCACACTGCTGGCTGTCAGCCTCACATCTGCAAACGAGACAGCCAGGAGCTCCACCGTGCCACGGGGATGCTGCAGGAGTGCAAGTACCTGAGCACAGCTGGCAGCAGCTGTTTCAAGGAGGGTCTCTGATTATCTGGTTCGTCTGCAGACAGGAGCCTGGAGCAAAGTTATAACAGCAAGGAAACGTGTAGAAAGAATAGACTTTTTCTGCTGGCAGTGGTGTGTCGTTTCCTTCCTGATTTTCATTTATCACCCGAGTTACTTAATCATGTTTTTTGTTGCCTTTCCGTCTTCCTTTTGTTCTTTGTCAGGAAGAACCACTTTCTCTGCTGACAAAGGAAAAATGACCACATCTGTGAAGACAGGCATGCCTTCTGATTTTTGTTTGTGTGGAGTGGCACACTGTGCTGTAGGTGTGCGTGCAGATGTCAGTGTTAATGTTGACAGAGAGGGCAGAGCCCCCAGAGTGGCAGAGGTGAAGGTGGCCTTTCTCACTGTCATCATCCTCGTGTGTCCATAGCTGCCTGCCCTGACTTCTGATCGTGCACCAGGACTGCATAAAGCTGAGGTGGTTCATTGCGTAGTACTGATTTCCAAGGCAGTGTCGTCATGTTTTCTCCTATATCTTGTCACTGCTCCCAACTGCAGAGGCAGGTACTGTGTGCCTGTGTGCAGCGTCAGTGACCTCCGTGTGGTACACAGAGAGCTGCAGGACCTGTGGTTTGAACGCTCCAGCTGATCAGGAGAGGCATCTGCCAGATAACTGCCACTTTCCCTCCACGTGTGGTGCAAGAAATGTGGACAATGTGTTGGGAATCTTGCACGTCCCTCCTGGCCCCCAAGTGGGTGCTGAAAGCATGCAGTGAAGTGACTGCACGCTGGTTCCAGGGCAATAACAGCACCCTGTTTTTGATGCTGCAATGTACAGTGGTGTGATGTGTGCGCAGGAGGCTTTGTGAAGCCCTTGATTTGTGCTGACAGGTTATGGGAGATGCATTGGCTCCAGGGCTGAGCGCTGACATGTGTGAACTGTGTTTTAATGTTTTAGGAAGTTGGATACCCGTCCTGAAGACTCCCTGTGCTCTGCCAAGGGGCAGAAACTGTCAGAGAAGGGTGGACAGGACATTGGGTGGCCGCTCTGCACACTTACGTGGTGGTGGCAAGTGTTTCTGAATGGGAGCTGTTTTGCAGTGATGATAAATGAGCCCTAATCCATCACATCAGCTTAGGGTTTGTATGATGATTGTTCCTGAAAATTCCAGCCTGCTTGTTCTCGCTTTTCCAAATGAAGAGAAGTGGTTAAAATTATTGTTTAGTGCAAGAAAGCAGTCCTTAATGATTAGTAAAGATTTTACCATGAGTCTTTCTTTCCCTGAGATCTAAATATTCTGTAAATCAAGCCTTTGTGCATTTTTAAATGTAATGCATCTTCCTCTATAAAAGTTATTTTTAATCTATGAAGGTCAAGTATTTGAAGATTGAAGTCGCATGAAGATAAGCCTGACTATGCAGTAATTTTCTCTGATGCACAACTACTGATTTTTGGTCAGTGTGTTAAGAATTGCAAGCATATACTGAGATAAGCCAAACATGATGCTGTTATCAAACATCTGCACAGGCAAATAGCTTACCTACAGATGTGCTGCATTTCTGTTTGTCTGATGATTGCATACTAAGTGGCAACTTCCCGTACTGAAAAGCTGCATTTGTTATGGGGTTTATTTACATCCATTCCTTTGTTGTCATGGGCTTTCCCCTGGCCCAAGTTAAGCTGCTTCTGCAAAATCTCTGCAGCTCATCTTCTGTTCAGTAGCATTCTGTGACTCTGGTTTATTTTTTTCTTACAGCTCCAGCTATAAATTCAAACTTTTTCCCAGCAACTCCGTCAGACGTGGAGCCTGTGAGCAGATGGTGCCCTTGTTGTATTCAGTTGTTCTAATTTTTGTCCTTCCTGCAACTGGCGATGTTGGTTCCATGGATCTGTGTTTCATCTGCAGGGCAGATTGTGAAGGCGCAGGTGAAATTGTGGTTAGCCTTAGCAGGATCCTTCTGCTCCCCAACCCCAGGGAAACGTACGTGGCCAGGCAGGGCTGTGGCAGGTCCTTTGTGCTAAAGTGGGGTATCCTCAGTGTCGTCTCCTCCGTTCTGCCCTGCTGTCTGTGCTCCGAGTTCTGGCGATGCGGTGGCCTTGCACAGCATGCCTAGCAAGGACTTTCGAAACGACTTGCAAAGGAAGAAGTAAATGAATGGATCTAGGCAAGCGTTCAGCGATGTCAGCCACAGCGTGCTCTCCTTTAAGTAAAACAGGGTGTTCACTGCAGAGCAGTCAAAAACATTTCTTGTTTGGCTCAAAGTGTAGGGAATTCTGGTAAAGTGGAATGGTGCAAAACATATAAAGAACACTGCGATTATGATGAAAACCTTCAGATTTACAGATTTTCTGGATGGTCTTCCCGTGGATCTTGTCCTCTGATAGGACTTATACAATTCTTTGCTTATAAGTATGTAGCATACAACTATGACTGCTAAATTAACCCAGAAGATAAGTTGGCAGATGTAGTTTACGATTTCATGCCAGACTAAGCCAAACTCAGATTTCAAGAGGGCACACTTTTTTACGTTCTTAGGTGTTTTTTTCTTGTTTGTTAGAATCATGTTGGGTAATGAAAGAGTAAACATCGATATCCAAATAGCCATGGAGAGGATCTTGGCGCCTCGAAGGCTCCTTGTGGTTGATGTTCTGAATGGCGAGGTGGCTTTCTGATAGCGGTCGATGGTTATCAGCCCGAGGAACAAGATGCTGATGTACATGGTGAAGTAAAACACGACCTGGCTGACCTGGCACACGAATCCTCTCAGCACCCACGGTACCAACTGTGCGTCGCTGAGGATTTTAAATGGAAAAGTCAGAATCATGAGGATGTCAGAAATGACAGTATTCTTGAGGAAGATGATGAAATTGGATTTACTTGATATTTTGAAGAAGATCCACGTTGCCAGGCCATTCATAGTGAGGCCCACCAGGAAGAGAAGAGTATAAAGCAAGGGGAAGATGACCTGTCTGATTCTGTTATCGCTGGTGCAGTTGCTACCATTGATAGAGTAGCTGAAGTTGCTTGTGGCTTTTGTTTGCATTTCGTCTTCTCCACCCTCCTTCTGAAAAACAAAACCAAAAGAAGAAGAAAAGTAAGGAATAGTGAAGCTGGAGATGATGCCTTTTCTGATTTCGGTCTTCTTAGTCTGTTTCTCATTTTTATACAGGGAGTATTTCTGTTGGACTTTGCCACCTGTGCTGCTTTCCTCTGAGGTTGGAGCAGGCAGTGCTGGGCATGGCCGTGCCGAGGGGAACTGCTGCCCTGGTCTGTTGGGTCCTGCCTGGCAGGGGCTGTGAGGAGGTGTGGGGTAGGATGGGCAGAGGCCTGCTGCTGTGATGGGCTGTGGGGCTGCCAGCCCCAGCTGGGTGCCGCCTGCTGTGCCGTGTGGGGCCTGTGGCAGCGGCTGCCTGAAGGTGTGCTCTGATCCAAGGAGAAAGGCAAGCATCTTTTTCCTCGTCCTTAATGTGGAAAAGAGGGAGCAGTGGAACTCCTTCTGGGTGCACATTTGGTAGGGAGAGACCGATGTCAATGTAATGCCCTTCTTGCTTCTCTTGCCCCAGCCCCACTGTCGGATACCTTCAAGGCTCTCGCTACCATTCCCCCCGCACATCCCCCAGATGCAGGGACGCCCACTTGCCCTGCAGGTTCCCGCTGTCGGTTTGGGGCCAGGAGACAGCTGTGGCAGCCGGGCATTGCAGGCTGCCTGGGAGAGGGGGCTGGCGGTGCCCTGCAGCTGAGATGTCAGCACTGACATCGGGGTGTTGCTGCGGCAGGTGCACGTTTGCCAGCATGGTCTGTGAAGGCTTTCGTAGCTTTGCTTGTATAGGAATTAATTTACAGCATCACAGCTAGTTTTTCCTGTCGCTTTTCTAAATCGGCTGTTCTACCCAACGTGGTACTGCAGGAAGCACCGACCCGCGGTGTGGAGCCGTGCGGCACTGCAGGCGCTGCGGTCACCAGCACGTGGAGCTGGCAGGCCGCGCTGTGCCTGCTGGGAGGCGGGGGGGCGCCGTGCGTCCTCACAGGGGCCGCTTTCGGGTGCACGGCGGTGCCGTTGCAGTGAGCGCGGTTGGCTGGGGTGAGCTCTGTCTTGGGAAGCAAGGTCAGCCAGCACCCGAGCATCCTGACACGGCCCTCACTGAGCTCCAGGTTCCTTTTCTATCGAAAAGGGTTGGAGAGGAATATTAGAATCTGCTTTTGCCCTGAACTGCGTGGCAGATCCGGCTGCCGCGTCCAGTCCTAACAAAGCAAGGATTCCCCAGGCTGCAGGATCAGAAAGCAAGCAGAAATCAGAGGGGATTACCGTAGCGTGCTGCCGAGCAGCGCTGCCGTGCTGGGTTGCTGCGGCTCCTGGTGCAGCAGCAGCGCTGTGAGACGCGTGGAGCTGGGGGGCCTCAGGTGCTGCAGTGCCGGGCTGCTGGCGGGCAGGGTCTGGCTCCTCAGCCGGGAGGACAGCTGCTGATCCCGGGTGATGCCATCAGCGCTTCTGCTTTTGTTTCCTCCAGAACAGAGAGAGAAATAGAACTTTCTATATAATTAGAGGCTTACTTCCTACTTTTGACCTACAGATAGAGCTGCTATTTTTAAAGGAGGTCGTATCGTGTGTTCTGTAAGCCGGCACAACTTTCCTGAGCGTGGAGTTGTGCTCCCATCTCTGTGCCTTGTGATTTGTGTGGAACTTATTTGTTAGTACTTTTGTGTGCAGCCCTCCTTGTTTGGAAACTGAATGGTCTCATGGTGTAAAGAGAAGCAGTGATTGGAGAAGGTGATTTTATGTTATAATTCAAAAATATTTACACCTTTTATAATTTGCTGAGCAGTTCTTCCAGTTTTAAAGTTATGAATTTGGCATCAACTTTGTGTGATACATGGTAGTAGAAGACTAAATGTAACTAGTTAGAGTTCCAGTGAACTATACACACGTCAGTTTCTTTTGGATTTACAAAATGCAGTCTTAAGAGTTGGACGGCATCTTCTTTTTAGTGGGGTTGTACGTAGAGAGAAGTGAGGAGCAGCTGGTGGACCTCAGTGCTGCCTGCCGTGGGGCTGGGGGTGGGCATGGTGTGCATCTCCTGGGCCTGTGTTCGTAGGTCCCTGCGGGATGTGTGGTACCAGATGACATCTGTTCCTCTGTGTTCTGAACCTGGCTGTTCAGTGATTTCGCTTGGTGCTGTTTCCTCTGCAGTGATAATCACAGGAGATGCTTTTTGCAATGAAATGTTCGTTACTGCTTGTTGCAGTTTGGGCTGCTGGGCTTCTGCAAGTGATGACAAAACAGTGATGAGAGACTTCACTCCTCCTGCTCTTTTCAGGATGAATCTTCAAGTCATGAATGTAACCAGCGCATGATTCTCCTCTATGGTGTTGGCAAGGAGCGTGATGAGGCAAGACATCAGCTGAGGAAGATTACCAAAGACATCCTGAAGATTCTGAATAAGAAGAGTACTACTGAAATGGGTGGTAAATGCTTTCGCACTGCTGCCTGGTAGCCCATAGCAGAGATGATGGGAGCTGTGCAGCCCCAGCATGAGGTGCAGCCTGCTGCCCTGCCCTGCTCAGCGTTACAGCAGCCAGGCTGTCTGCACCGGTGTGGGGATAAAGCCTGGAGTTTGGTGCTCTGGCCAGGCAGCAGTATGCATTGCTTGTCTTCCTAGCAAAACAGTGTGACCATTTTTCAGTTGTTATTGAATGTCACCTTTTTTGCACTGATGACCTTAATGTAGCTTTCACATTGTTACGTGGAAAACTGAGGGAAGAAGGATTTCATGTAGTCATAAGTGATGCTTTTACTGTTAAATGTCTTACAAAGCAATAGTAATGCATAGCTACAAGAGCTCCACTAAATATAAAGTGACCAAAATAATCTTTTATCTGTTAAGTTGGGGATGAAGGACAAAAGGCCAGGAAGAACAAACAAGAAGCATTTCCAACTCTAGAGACTGTGTTCACAAAACTACAGCAGCTGTCATATTTTGACCAACATCAGGTGACATCTCAGGTACTTCCCTTACATAAAATTGTGGCCTGTTGTGTTCTGCTGTAGAGTTATCAATTAGGGGACAAATCTGGGTTTTTAAGTAGTGTTTTATATATGCTAGGAGTATCACTGCTTCTTTTAAGGTAAGAGAAGAAAGTGCTGTGTTGGTATTTTAAAATGCTGCTTCTGTGGGTATTTCTTTGTTTTGTTGGGATGCTTTTGTTTGCGTTTACTGTGTTTGTTTGTTTGCAAGAAACTTTCGGGGTTATTATAGATTTGATTTTTTTAGTTGAAAATTTGGAAGTCAATTTTATGTTTCAGCTTACAGCTTTGTTTAGGGCTCACTGGTAAATTAGGTCTTACCAGCCAATCTCTTGCATATGTGTAAGGTCTGTTCCTGCATTTGTGTGAAGGATGGTGAGCTGCGTGTTTGTGCAACACCTTGAGTACATCTGTGGAAAACAGCTGGATAATACAGTTTGTTCATCCCTTGCTGTTAAAACTGGTACTCAGCCTTTGCTATTAACAAGCTGTCTTAGTAGCTGAATGGAGATCAGAAACAACTTCCTTGGGTGCTTGGTGCTCCTGGCCTCTGTCTGGACTCACCTGCCCATGTCTGGGCACAGGCTTTCCTCACTTCCAGCTGTTACTGTTTCAAAGTGTTTCTGATACCTGAGGGCAGCCTAGGAAAAGACTAACAGTGAATGACTGATATTTGATTTATAACACATCTTCAGTGCTTTTCTTCTGAATGAATTTATTACACGTTATTTTTGCAGGGTGAAGTGTGAGTTGTTATCGCTGTACAAAAATCACAGTTCCATAGGTTGGAAAAAGAGATTTGGGCTCTCTTTGAAACACAAATTGCATTTTAAAAGTAGGTATTTGTCAAGAGGAGTTTGACCCTCAGCTATGAAGCAGCAAACCAGCATTTTCTGCACAATCACTGTCGAAAATATAGCAGCATTATATCTGACTTGCAGGATAGTAGAGTAACATACAGACTCTGTGGTTGTACATGATTTGTTGGTGCTGTTATCTACAAAGTGCTGTCACTTGCTATTAGCAGTCACAGAGCAGGATTTTTGAAGCACTAGCGTGTTTGAGGAGCCCTTGGATGTCATACAGCCTTTCAACTTCTATTTTCACAGATCTCCAGCAATGTTCTCGAACAAATAACTAGTTTTGCCTCAGGAACATCCTATCACCTCCCCTTGGCTCACCACATACAGCTCATCTTTGATCTCATGGAACCAGCGCTGAATATCAACGGACTGATAGACTTTGCAATACAGGTAAAAAGAGTTTGTTTTAAGAATGGATACATCAGGACACAGCTGCGATACGCAGTGTGAAACCAGAAGGAAAAAAGTGCTGTACAGCACATTCTTCTGATCTGCTGCTGTGTGCTTTCCTCTATTTCAGTTTCCTAACCTCTAAAACAGCATGCCAGATACTTCCCCTCCTGCCTGTTTTTGACTGTTACAGACAAAGGCTAGCTGTACTTTTTTTGGTAATTAATAAAAATCTGGATTCTTTTAACGTAAGATATTTTCATATGGGCTTCACAGTTTTAGGCTCAAGCATCTTGTTACACAGCAAAGCATTTGGGTGGCGGAGATGCTGTTTGCTTCTGAAAAACAGTTCTGAGGAGCACGTTCTGTACTTTACAGTTCAGTTGGCTGCCTCTTTCCCTCGTTCTTTGGCAAACAAAGAATTCCATTTTGGTTTGCCATTTAGTTTTTCCTTAATTGTTTTTTAGCCCCTGTTTTACATGTCGGAAGTTGTTCTCAGTTGATTGTTCTGGTGTGTTGTCAGCTGCTGAACGAGCTGAGTGTGGTGGAGGCAGAGCTGCTGCTGAAGTCGTCCAGCCTGGCAGGGAGCTACACCACGGGGCTGTGCGTGTGCATCGTTGCTGTCCTGCGGCGTTACCACGCCTGCCTCATTCTCAACTCGGAGCAAACTGCACAAGTCTTTGAAGGGTTTGTGGCAGCTCGTTTCCTGAAAGTATTTCTGTTGTTATTTTTAAATAAGATCTGTGTTTAGGTTCAGGTGGGGAGGCTGAGCAGTGCACAGCGCTGCGAGCTGCAGCAGCGGCCCTTGCTGGAAGGCTGCAAGCCGGCTCGGAGCCACGCTCAGCCTGGTGTGTGGCTCACCTCTGCAGCCTGCTCCAGCCTCACCCCTGGGAGCGCGGCAGATGGTGGGAGCTGGGTCTTGATTTGCTTCCCTCTTGCTCGGTTGTCCCCAGCACCTCTGTATCCCCTCCTCTGGCACCCACGTAGCTCACAGGTGACACCAAATTCACGTGGGCCCCATCAGTCTGTGCACGCAAGGCTTGCCGTCACCCTGCCAACAAAGGGTTTTGTGACGTGTAACGATACGAGATGTGGTGGAATGAACTCGGAATGGTTTTATCTTTGCAGGTTGTGTGGAGTGGTGAAGCATGTTGTTAATCCCTCAGAGTGTTCCTCCCCAGAAAGATGTATTTTGGCCTACCTCTATGACCTGTATGTGTCCTGCAGCCACCTGCGAAGCAAGTTTGGAGACCTCTTCAGGTGAGTTCTACTGGGATCGTTCCTCGCCTGCTGCAGACTCCTGGGCTTTCAGTTCAGTTTGCTTTCTGTGGAAAATGCACTGCCATCTTTGCAGCTTTGCCTTTATGGGTACAGTCCTCCCGCCCGTGCTCCGTGCAGCAGTGCAGTGCTGGTGTAGGTGCTGCAGCTGCCCTGGAGGAGCAGTGGCAGGGATCTGCTCTGCTCGGCAGCGCAGTGAGGGCGTGGGGCGAGGTGGGAGGCAGTGGTGCTGCACAGCTTTGGCCTTCCCATGCCTCCACTTCTCAGGGTTCGTGGAGCTGGTTTGCTGTGGCGTAATGCTGATCTGTAAGGCTTTAGTGATGGGCTGTAGTTACAGTGCGGGATAGAAAATAACAAACTCTCGGTTGGCACAGCTCTGCCATTTTGTTAAATATTTCTTTGATGTGGAGAGAGACACAAACATGTTGGAGTTTGTGAAGTTTTGTGCTCCGTTGTTCAGTTCCTTGATTTTTTAATTAAAATAATATTTTAGATAGCCATATGCTGTATTTATGGCTCTTACTTTTTAAAGGGGGATGGAAAGCCTTTCATATGCAAGTATATGTCTTGTGAGAGTGACAAACCATGCCCGTTACTGTTTCCCCTCCTAAGTTACACACCTGGATTTGAGCTGTGTGTTTCAGATTTGTGGGCTTTGTTTCATGGTGAGCAAGAGCAGAGTTCTCAGTAATAATTTTTCAACGAGTTTATGAGCATGTGGGAATAGTGGTATTTAGTTTGAGAAACAATGGGAAAATGAAACTAAAGAACTACAGAAACGTATTAGATGTGTGGTCATTCTTCTACCTAAAATCTGAAGTTCACTAATTCAAGAAACATCCTACCCTGCAATAGAAATTCAAATTGTCATCTAATAATCCAGAGATATTTGGGATATAAAATCACCCAGTAATGTAGCTTAAAGCCCCCTTCTCAGATAAGCGTAGCTGGAAGTTCTGTGAAAACTGGCAGTAGAATTTATGCATACATTTCCTAAGCAGCTGTATATCAGATGTGTTGTGTCGCTGCTTTTCTTCTTGGTTTCCGTACTGCTATTAAAACAAAACCAAACCCACTAACCTGCACCAGTAACTGCTTTAGAAGCTTCTTAGCGTGCTGCAAGTCCTGCTGTTTCTCTCTCTCTACATCAGTTTGAAGGGACCATAAAATACAGTTCGTAAACGTACAGATCTTGAGACTTACCTTTCTGGCATTGCAGTGCTTTGGCGATGACTTATGATTCCCTCTGCAGTATTTCTCAGCTGGGTTTTACTTGGTGATCTGCGTGTTTTAGTTTGGCATTGTTAGTGTGTTTAATCGCACTCACTAACCTTTCCTTAATAAACAGTTTATTCACTTTTTGACAACTTACAAGGAAAGCCTGTGGTGTTTGGTAAGTCACTGCCAAAAGGAATATGTGTGTGCTCCTTTACCTGGCCACTCACAGTGTCAGTGCATGGCACAGAAGCTTCTTACCAAGCAGGGCTTTGATGCTGTGCACAGGGGTAATCAAGGACTTGGTGATCCCACCGTGCCCAGTAACATCTGTGCAGGATACCTCTATTTTTGGCAACTCTCTCTGTTTTGATCCTCAGTAGTGCCTGTTCTAAGGTGAAGCAAACAATATACAGCAACGTTCAGCCTTCAAATTCCAATCTGCTGTGGGATCCGGAGTTCATGCTAGACTTTATTGAGAACCCTTCTGCTCACAGCATTAACTACTCAATGCTGGGCAAGATCCTGAGCGACAACGCAGCCAACCGCTACAGCTTCGTCTGCAACGCTCTAATGAATGTGTGCATGGGGCACCAAGATGCAGGAAGGTAAGGGAGACCCTCTGCAGTTGGAACTGTGTGCATTTTTACATGGCACACGTGAGATTTCCATTTACCTGTTTGGTTTGTGTCTCTGTTGCAATAGTTTTCATTCATTACTCTTTCTGATTGCTGAAAATGTATTTAGTAAGTTTCCTTTAAGTGACGTTAATTAAATCAACCTGCATAATTTGACAGAAAGGAGTAGCTAGTAGGAGCTGCTCACTGTAGGGTAAGCTGGAAGCTGTAATGTCAGCAGATGTGCTGTTCTGGGTAGGACAGCTCAGTGCAGTCTTTGCCCATTAGATGCCTGCAAACAAGGGAAGATTCTGCATTAGATCATTTCCTTATTATGCAATCTATGCTTAATTCATTACGTGTGCGAGTTATTATTCTTTATGAAGTTCATCTTTGTAGGTAATATGTAACTTTTCAAAAACTACTTTGTAAGAAGAATTCAAAATTTTTATTGGGTAGAAGCAACTAGATTTATAACAACTGTCAGTTGGATGCTAAGAGTAGCTTAGACTTCACAGAGCATGGCTCCAGCAGGGCTCCAGCCATCGGAGTGTAGGGTGGCATCAGCACCCAGCAGGCTGCCCAGCTCTGTCTGCCTGTAGCACCAGCAGGATCCAGCTCTTGTCGCAGCACGGTTTGGTCTGATCCTGTGTGTCACTGCTGGACCTTACAGCTCTTAGAGCTTTCTAGGGCATCTCAAGGTACTGAAGAAGTGTAGTGAAGAACCCCTGCAGTAAAATTAGTCACACTGGTGTAGAGTTTTACATCACTCCTTCCTCTGTGCATCACCTCTTCTTGTGCAAAAGCAGCACTGTGGTACTAAAGCTGCCTTGCTCTGTTTTCCAGTCATGCAGTCTCTGGTGTAGGATGAAAGGGGTGCTGGTTTGGGATCTAGCTCTTACACCTGTAAGATCTAGCTCTTACACCTGTCCCCAGCACCTTCGTTCCTATTAAACAATGAAAATTTCTGGACTTTGGTGTTCCAATACTGTTCCAATATGTATGAAGATAGTCTTGGTAGTTAGGCCTCGTTGCAGCAGTAGCCAGCTGTCATTGTAAAGGCTGCTGGCAAACCACAAAACCTAGGGGATTGGGGAATATTTTTCCTTTGGATTGGCTCCTGCCCAGGCTGTGTGCTATACCTGTGCCTTTCTCCCCTTTCACGGTCTGAAGGCATCTGGGGAACTTGGAGCATCTTGGCAGAGAGGAGCGGCTGAGATGAAGCAGTTCTGTACACCAGCAAAGAGGAAATGTGTCCAAAAAAGTTTTAGTGTGGAACAGGGGAAAAATAACTTGTGCTGAGCTGAGTCAGTTCTGCTCTGTTTTTAAAAATGTCATTTAACTGAGTCATACACTGAATCACACATTGCAGAATATGCAACTCTGAAACTGCATGGAATGAAATTCACAGAATCAGAAATTCAGGAATCACCTGAGTTGGAGGTGGCCTTTAAGGCTGTGTGGCCCAACTCCCCTGCAGTGGACTGGCACATCTGCAGCTCCATCAGGCTCTCAGAAGAACTTTTTCATGCCGTTTGATGTTCTCTCTCCCTGCTCTCAAGCAGTAGTGCTGCCTGGCGCAGGGCGAGCTGACGGGGGTGGGGTGAGGAGCACTGCACACACTGCTTTCTTGTGGCATGTTTGCATGACAGAGATCATTGCTGCTGTTTGCAGGCAGTGCTGAGGAAAGGCAGTGCGCCCAGTGGGCAGGAAAGCCAGTATTGCTGGGCATATACAGCAGGGTTTGCACAAAATAAAGGCCCCATGGCAGATCTGTGCATGCCATGGGCTGCGAGTCACGTATTGTTTCTTCTGGGTGCTGCAGTTGTCCGCAGCTGATAGCTTAAGATTATGTGCAGCATAATTGTATTTGGCCATTACCTCCACCTTGAGTAGGGAAATGCCCTTTCTTTTGCCAAGCAGGAATTTGCTTTGACCTGAATATTTCTTTTTGTTCTTCTCTCCTAGGATTAATGACATAGCAAACCTTTGTGCAGAGCTGACGGCGTGCTGCACCGTGCTGAGCTCAGAGTGGCTGGGGGTTGTCAAAGCTCTTTGCTGCTCTTCCAATCACGTGTGGGGTTTCAATGATCTGCTCTGCAGTGTGGATGTAAGTTCACACTACCTTCTGAAGTACCTCTTGAACCTCTTTACCTGGGAAACACAAAGAGTTGCAGTAAGGTCCCCATTCGGTACATAATGCTGGGCACAGTTTAGTCATTTATCTGCTGAAGTTTTCAAGGCTTTTCGTTGGACTTTGGACTGAGATTTCTGATTTTTATTCTTTCCTACATCTTCAGTTTGAATGTTAAATGAGGGCAGTGCTTAGAGTTTTCTCTCTGTTGTGGAACAGTATGTAAGATTTGGAGGGGCTTTTGGAAAGGAGCAGATGCACTTTCTCTAAAATGCTGGTGGATGTGTAAGTAACCATCCCTATTTTAATGGCTCTGGCTTTTAGACTGTAGAGGTGTTTTCTGTTCTTTTCTCTCCGATACAAGTTGCCATACTCCTGTCAAAGTCAACAAGATTATAATGAGTAACTGTATTCAATATCTGATCCAATAGGTTGATCCTCAGTTTAGGAACTGATTGAAGCTGTGAATGTTGGGGATATATTCTTATTGGTGTTATCAGTTTTTATTGAGTGATAATATTTTCCCAGATTGGTATAAGACTAGCGGATGTTACTTTGGAATTAATTTGTGATATCTGAAACAGATGTATTTTAAAATTAAGAGCTATCTGTATTGTCACAAAAAGTTTGTGGACACACTGAAATGTGCAGATGGCTGCTCACATGTACACGTTTTACTGTTTGCTCTCCTGGTGAGTTCCTTAATAATCATGGCAGCGCTGTGCACTGTCATGTGAAGCATTGCCGTGTTTTCCCTCCCAGGTGAGTGATCTGTCATTCCACGATTCCCTGGCCACTTTCATTGCCATACTGATTGCCCGGCAGTGCTTTTCTCTGGAAGATGTCGTTCAGCACGTAGCACTGCCTTCTCTTCTGGCAGCTGGTAAGAACACACCGAGAGAAAAACGTAGAATGAAAGGCTGAAGATGTTTTAGGGAGTTTCCTTTGAGTGAGTAAGAAGTGAGAAGAGCTCTCCTGTAGGAAGAGCCACCTGTTGTACGTACAGCATGTATGTCGCTGTAGTTCACAAAAGGGGGGATGCTGGGTTACAGCAGAGCTCCCATGGCTGACAAGTGGTGGCAGAGCTGCTGGCAGTGCTCTGTCTTGTGTGATGCAGCATCACTTTCTGCTCAGGAATTTCGTGCTCTACACTGCATGCTTGAATGTCTACCAGATCTACTGAAGTTGTGCTTAGGCACATCTTGGAAGATCACCTTTATCTTCTGCAGCCCACAGCAAGCATCTGTCTCTCATTTCCTTCTGCTATCAGTGCCCGACGTTGGCATTTTCTCTCTGACATATCATCCTAGCATCCAGCCTGGAACCTGTGTTCCTCTTTGTTTGCCACATTGCATGTTTCTTTTCACTTTTTGCCTAGATTTGTGTTTCTTATTTCTATTCTGACTTTCATAAGCCAGTTTAATCGTGTATTCATTTCTGCCATTAGTTAGGACTCTGGCTTAACAAAAATCATGCTGTTCTTTCCCGGTTTTGAGTGGCTCAAGGCCAGAAATGCTAATTCCTGATGATGAAATTATTATACTTGCATTTAAAATGGGGCTGTGAAGTAAAACCTTTCCAGGCCTGACAGCATGACTTGTGAGGTCCTGGGTAGATGCCCTACGTCCGTGTCCCATATTCCATAGCCTGTGGGGACCCAGATGCTGAGCCTGGGGCCAGGATGACTTGTCGGCTTCTCCTGCACCTCTTCAGGACACCGCAGGTCTGCCTCTTCCCCCAGGGAGCAGGTAAGCTGCCTGCTGAGTGCTACTTTTGTTTCAGAGCAGTGGCTTCAGATATTGTGTGTGAAAATATCCGTGGTGCAATTAGAAATGCAGCCTGCTTAAAGGAAAAAAGTCTTCACAAGAGAAAAGTTACTGTGTAGAATTCTTCTTTATTTGTAAAATAAAGTTCTGTGTGCTTATGAAACTCTGTATGTTCACTGAAACTTGTTATTTAACAAGAGCTGGCCATTGAGGTATTTACTCTGTTGGCAAGCTCCACCTTATCAATTCCATATCTTAAGAAAAAGAATTATGTTTTAAAGCAGCACCCATGTACACTTCAGCAGAGAAAGAGCTTTAGAAGTTCTGTTCTGATTGCTCTCATTCTGTCTGTGAATTTCATTGCAGCAGCCATGTCCCTGTGTGCTGGCAGCACCACGGCCACGCTCTGTTGTGCTGGCTTTGCTGGGGCAGTGGTGGCTCTGAGTGGGGTCTTTCTGCAGGGAGATAGAAGTGAATAGGGATAAACGTAATGCAGTTTGATAGCTTTGTGTGTAATTATTAGTTAATGTGCTTTTAAAACTGGGCACAGTGAAACACCTATAGTCCAACAGCAGAAGCGTGAGGAAATTGGACCTCAGACTATATTAACGTGTCTGTCCTTCTTAATTGGAATGCTCTGTGGTCTGACCTGTGTGTTCTGCCACAGACCAAAAGAGGAAGGAAAGGGGCAAGGAACAAGTAGGTGGCAGTTAAAAGGAAATAACCATTGAAATCACCTGTGTTTTGACTTCTAAATATTTCAGCAGACTTGATGACAAGGCTGTTTCTAAGGGAGGAATAAACTGAAAGCAGTTATTATTTTAAACTATTAAATGATGTCAGTTCTTCTGTCTAAAATTAGTAGTTTCTTTTTTGAACAGAAATGAATGAGCTGCTCTTACTCAGGCAAAATAAGTGAGTGTTCACTACTCATAGTGGTTTCTTGGGAAGACAAATGGCATCACTCCGAACATCCCCTGCTTCCCCTTTCTTTCCTGCCAGCCTGTGTTGCTGAGCACGATGCCACATGGTACTGAGAATCTCTTTGGTCAGCTGGGGTTGGCTGCCCTGCTGTGCCTGGTCAGCATCCTCGTGGTGTGGCAGCAACAAACAAAATCACCATGGCTGTGTGGGCACTGCTGGGCTGCCATTCAGAGCCAGAGCACCATGTATCCATGACTTACCATTGGTCTTCAGCTTCAGTTAGGATGTTCAGTTCTTCATTCAGTTACTGTACTTCTTTAGCTATTGTAGATGTAAAGCGTAACCATTTTCTACAAGATTTATCCTTCTTTCCACAGGAAAGCTATTTCCTGGAATTCGCTCTTCTTGTGATCGTCACCTCTTGGCTGCTGCTCACAACAGTATAGAAGTGGGAGCTGTGTTTGCAGTCTTAAAAGCTATTCTGATGCTTGGTAAGATCATGCAGAGTAACGTGTAACATTTCTGTTCTAGAGCTCGGGTCAAAACCTGGTAGTGCTAGTTCACATCCCTGGGGATGCTTCTGGGAGGGGAAAGCCCTGCTGACAGAACTAAAATGTAGATGCTGTCTGTGCTCCTGAAGCATGCAAGTAGCATTTCCCTCTCGGGCCAGGAGGCAGAGTTTCTCTGGTGAGTCAGTGCCAGCTGATGGCTCCAAGCAGATCTGACTTTTTGTGCTTGGACCTCCCCATACCAAACTCCAGTGCATTTCTAACTCTGGCAAGTCAATCAAGTACATAGAGGAAACAAGGTCTCAGATCTCTTTCCCCATCTTTTTCTTTTCTTCACCCCAATTTGTGTATGTCAGTCCTTGAAGAACTTGAAGAAGAATCACTGCTATGCAGTGATCCATCAACAAGGAGATATTATTTATCCAAACAAATAACTGCCTCAGATTTTTGGTTTGGCTTCTGTTCAGTTAGAGCTTTTGTGAGCTATGATGATGTGTATTTTTGGAGCTAAGTAAATGTCCAGTTAAAGAAGCAAGGTGTTCCAGAGGTGCGCATGCCCACAGAGATGTACCTCCAGCTTGAATTCCGGTGTTTTGTTCTCTGTTGGCCACTATCTCAGAACTGTCTCAAAACCCTGTGGTCCTTAATGATGAGACTTGTCATGCCATGTTGGTTGTTGATGCTAATAGCAAATGAGGGGTTTTCTAGAGGATGGCTGTCATAATGGTGAACCAGGTATGATCCACAGAAATTTCTGCTGACTTGAGATGTTTGGCTGTGTTAGCCTGCTTCACGTGCAGGCTGTCATCGTGCACGCTTCTGTATGGCCTCACAGGGTGTTACTGTGTGCAGCAGTTTGGGCTCCTTTCTCCACTCTTCCTCCCTGTAGCTGCATCTTCTTCCTCGTCCGAGGTTTTGAAGCCTTAAACATCAGTCATGTTAAAACTTTTACAGGTTTGATTTTTTGCACCCTGTCCTGTCTGCTCAGCCCTGCTTGTTTCAGGCAGGTGGTGTGGCCGTGCTGAGCTGATGCCTTGCAGAGAGGAAGGGGTCCTGGGCTCTGCCAGAGCTCCCTCAGCATGTGCTGCCCTTCTGTGTTCCCACAAAGGTCCATGTCTCTGGTGAAGAAGTCCATGGTGAAACAGGCTGAGGGAACCATCAGCCCAAACTTTTCTCTTGATGCGTAGAGTGTTTATAAATCAGAGTAGAGAGAAGACTTGGAACAAAGAGAGTCATCTGAGAAGAACAAGTAACCCAACTCTTCCTTATCTGCCAAAGCAATTCCATGCACTAGTGGGCCCTTGCCTGTGGAGCACACCAGGCTTTAAGTTGTGTTGAGTTCATATAAAACTTTCTCTACTTCTGAAACGTCCATCAGAAAGATGTTACACAAAAGGAAGGAGGTGGACGATGCGCTGGGCATGGCGGTTTTCAGACAGACTCCCAGCGCTGCCTTTTTTTGGAAGCAGCTGCCTCAGCCCTTCCTTGCTCCCGTGCCTCAGGAGATGCCCCTGCCTGCAGGCACCGGGCTTTGGGTAGCGCTCACCCTGTGCTCCTGCTCTGCAGGTGATGCTGAGATCGGCAGCAGCAGTGTGACCCCCGTGAAGAGCGAGGAGCTGCCCGTGAGAGGCTTGCTGGATGAGATCCCTGGGGACGAGATGTGGGCCTCCTCTCACGCTCTGAAGTCACGTGGAAAAGCTGTTTCCATAGAAACTGCCAGTTTAAGCGAGTATGCCAGATACGTGCTCAGAAGCATTTGCCAGCAGGTAATGTGTGCAGCTGCACTCTTCACATAGAGAAGGAATGGCGTTTCATTTGACATGGATAATGTGTATTGTGGTGCAGAATGATTGGTGCTGAAATATTTTAGTATGTGAGTTCTCACTGGTTTTCCTGCACTGGTGTTTAATACGCTGAGTAGGATGTTATCAAGGCTAAAAAGAAATATACAAAAGCATAAGGTAGTTTCTAGCATCCACCTGTGCTCTCAGATTTATTTTTCCTACCTGGCTCTTGAGCAGAAGAGTCCATCAGCTGTCTGTTCAAAGTCCTTGTGCAGTGATATTTGTTCTATTGCAAAGTTGCTTTCAAAGCATAAGATAAACCTTTGGAACCAGAAGTTAGGTCTTACACTTTCAGGTATGAATGATGGAAGACATTTATGGTTTCACGTGAACAGTATTTCCCTTTTAAGTTTTGCATGCTGAAAATCCCTTTTCTGTTTAGTTTACCAGACGTCAGTATTACACTGAAGCGATCCTGTGAATCTGTTATCTAATTACTTACAGGAATGGGTTGGAGAGCACTGTTTAAAAGAACCTGAAAGACTGTGCACAGATAAAGATCTAATTTTGGATCCTGTTCTTTCAAACAAGCAAGCGCAGAAACTTCTTCAGCTTATCTGTTATCCTCATGGTGTGAAAGAATGCTCCGAGGGGGACAACCCTCAGAGGCAGCACATCAAACGCATACTTCAGGTAAAGCAATGGACAAAAGGAAGGGGAAAAATTGCCACTCATGTAGTAACTCTTAGGCTGTCACTCAGCAGCACTGCTTTGCAGTTCCAGGTGCAGTCTAGCAGCAGGCCGTAATTCTTTAGAAGTCCCATGTGCTCAGGATCCCCAGTCTTTGCTATAGCCATCTTGCAGTGTGACTTCTGGTGTTTCCCTGCTTCTGATTCCATTGCTGTGTGTCAGTCACTGGGCAGCTGCTGGAAGGGAGCAGCTCTGGGAGCTGCTGAGGTGGGATGCATTCTGCAGGAGAGCTCTGTAGTGGCAGTGGGCTGAAAGACATTTGTGCTCCATAGAAAAGGCTCAGGTGCTGTCTGCGTGGTCCTCAGCTGATCATCTGTTCAAATTCAGCTAGCTCAGGAGCATTTCATTTCTCAAACTACAGAACTGTGCTTCTTTGAGTAGAACTTTGAGGGTTCAAATCAGTGACGTCCAGAACGAGAGTAAAAGACATTGGTGTGCTGCAAAATAGTCACTTCAGCTGCTGGATTTAACTTGGTGGTGTCTGGATGGCCTTGTACCAAATACACCACGTCTACTTGCATGGCAATACCATGGTTGAATGTAATTGCCAATGAAAGGGCAAATTACGTTTTCTGTACTTGTATTTAACTAGGCTCAGATTTTGCAGAGCGTGTTTTATTCAGAAAAGTTGCACGTTAGAGGTACTGAGTAATGAGAGCAGACAGTCAGCATACATTCCGGGGGAGGTCTGGTATCTCAACATGTCATCAGATTTTCAAAGAGTGCTGCTGGTGATGGTCTGCTTGTAGGATCAGGTTTTTGCACGTACTATGAGACCTTTTCCCCCTCAAACCTTTCAAGTGTTGACACACGTATTTGTAATGCTGATTCCTACCCAGAACTTAGACCAGTGGACTCTCCGGCAGTCTTGGTTGGAGCTGCAACTAATGATCAAGCAGTGCATGAAGGAGCCTGTGAGTATTTGTCTTCAGCCTTTCTTAGCTAAATATTTAATGCAAAAAAGTATGTTAAATTTTAACGTAGTCCATGAGCAAACATACCATGAATGTGCTAGTTTACTTATGTTTTACTGTAGGGTTCTGGGTCTGTGGCTGAAATGAACAGCTTGTTGGATAATATTGCAAAGGCGACAATAGAGGTGTTTCAGCAATCCGCTGATCTAAACAATAACTCTTCTAACTCTGGTATAGGCCTCTTCAATCCAAACTCTGTTGGAAATGCTGACACAAGTAATACAAGACAGAATGGTAAAAAGACATTCCTAAGGTATTTTCTGTAGCACCTTTTTAATTATTTTAGCCAACGTGATGCTTAATAATGCATAGATTGCCTAGACTTTTTGCTCTTGAAACAGGGATGACTTACCTGAAGATTACTGCTGTGTACCTTAGTTTAACAATAAATTATTTTCTATAATTATTCTTGAATTTTCGGAAACCAGAGATTACGATTGCTCTGTCCACACTAGTTACTGCAGATGTGTTGTGTCCTTATTAAAGCAGTTTGGTATTGTAGCAGCTAGCACTGGTTGCAGAACTGCACGGATCCTTTGGCTGAAATAAGCTTGTTCTATTTCTAGTTCCTCTGAGTGGCGAGGAGTGTGGCTGGTGGCTCCCTTGATTGCAAAACTACCTACCTCAGTGCAAGGTAGGGTCTTGAAAGCTGCGGGAGAGGAGCTGGAGAAAGGTCAGCATTTGGGGTCATCTTCTAAGAAGGAAAGAGATAGACAGAAGCAAAAGAGGTATGACCTTGGGAGGCCTCTGTAAGCAGAGCTGGCAGGTATTTTTGAAGGAGGGCTGTGCTGGGCACTGGGTTGTTGCATCACAAGACCTCATTGGTTCACTTCTTTGCAGCGTGTAAGTTACCAACCCCAGCCAGGGCTCAGGTTTAATTTAGTCTGCAAAATACCATTGGTCTCAGAAGACAAAGTGTGAAAGCCCTGTAACACATCATCCAGAGGCTGTCCTGCATCCATCAGTAGAGGAAAGTACAGAACCTCTCTTTGCCTAATGTTTCTTTTCCCATGGGAAAGCTCTGGTGTAGAAGACCTAAAACAAGCCGCTTTCAAATAACATGGCTGTAGAAACTGTTAAGCCCTTCCTCTGTCTTGGCTTCTGTGCATAGAATTAAAAGCATTTACACCACTTTGTAGCAAGGATTGCAATTGCAGTAGTGGTTGTCTTGCAAGTTGTCATTTTTTTCTTGTGGCAATTAATGCAAAAGCCAACAGGTACTCCTACCACGTTGTTCCTTAGCTCTGAAAAATCCCAATTTTAACATGATTTTTGAAAACGTAGGCCTTCTAATTGTTTTGTCCTACAGGGCCTAGGGATTTTGCCGTCCCTTTAGTCTGGTTGTCAATGAAATTGCTGAAGTCAAGTTAAATGCCAAATGAAAACAGCTGTTGAAATGAATACCTGTACGAAACAAATGTGTGTGCATGGTTGTATGCTTTATTCTGTTCAGGATTTGAGTCATTTCCTAGGAGTTTACATAGCTAAAACTGTAAAAATCATTGCATGAACTGTTACTCAGATCCCTTTGCTCACGTTTTTAGTGTTTCTTCTACTTCATTTATTGTACTCCCAGGTTTGTCTCTGCATGTTTCTCTCAGTTTGCCTGCATTTTATGGTCATAACAGATACACAGTACTCTAAAGAATACATATATGGATTCTGAATGCCCTTACACTGTTATGGCATGTTTCCTGCAACCAGTTAAAGCTACCTCTGGATTTGCATATGCTAAACCCATGGTAAAATTTTAGTGGGATTCAGTTGGCTTTCATTTTAATCAGTGCTCAGAGGGGAAACTTGGGATTCACTTCGGGCCACCAGATGGATTAGAAGCTTTAGCTGTCTGGTCTCCACCACAATTATATCCCTAGTTAATGAAAGCAGTCTTAAAATAACGCGTTCTGAGTCAGACCTGCAAGTGTCCGTGTGATTTTTGGCCATGCGGTGCCCTGAGCTAGCTGGGTTCTCAGCACTGACACATACAGTAAGTGGCTGCTGCTCTTCCTACTTCTAGGTGCACGTTCTTTTAATTTGTCCTGTGAGGCTTTGATTCACAAAAACAAAAACAGAGCTAAATGTAGGCAATGCTACTTCCAGAAAAAAAAAAAGACAAAACAAAGATGGGAGTGGAGATGGGAACTATCAGAATAGCATTACTAATTGACTTCTGTGTTTGTCTCTCCTAAAGCATGTCTCTCCTGAGTCAGCAACCTTTCCTTTCTTTGGTACTTACTTGCCTTAAGGGACAGGATGAGCAGCGGGAAGGGCTGCTGACATCACTGCAGAATCAAGTCAATCAGGTACAACCAGCACGTAACCACGAGCTCCTTCAGTGGACGTTTGTGTCACCGGTTTGACGTGTACAGGAGGGGCTCAAACCAGGAGAGCTGTAACACATGGCCTGCTGGAAGGAGCAGTGAGGGGAGGAGAGAATGGGGAAAAGTTTTGTCCATTTGTTACAGAAAATACATCTTTTTTTTTTTTTTCCTAAAATGGTTCCAGCAAACTTTAATGAATGTGAGTCTGGTTCAGTTCTTTCCTGGCTCAGTTCTTGTCCTGAGAGGAAGCTTCTCAGTCTTTCGTTTGGTCTTAAGAAGTTTTTATAGGTTTGAGACTTGAAACTATGGAACATACATATATATATGTTTTTAAATACTGCTAGTCTCTAACTGGCAAATTGCCTACAGAAACCATCCCTGCTGCTCTTTGTTTGAATCCCCAGTGCTGTTCCCACCCCCTGCTGATTCTGCTGTGCCTCCTTGTTCCCACCTGGTTCCTGCTGTGCCTGCATGAACCTCATTAACTCTCCAGACTGTCCTTTAAGTGAACATATGCAGTGCATGGTGTGGTGCAATTATGTCTCTTTTTTTTGTCTCTAGTTTCTCTAACTTACTGTGACAGTGAAAATTAATACTTGTAGGGCCATTATTTGCTCATATTGCTGCTCAGTGCAACTCCAGGCTCTGACTTCCACATCCTGGTTAAATTCATTCCTTTGACCTTTTTTTGCCCTTGGTATTTCTTTTGATGTTTTTTTTTTTTTCCTGGTAGTGCTGCCACGTGGACTCTTCTGCTGTGTGGTTCCCCCCTGTAACACAGCAGGTGCAGTTTCCCTGAGATTCTGCTCATTTCTTGTCCTGTGCACCCAACATTTTCTGCTGGGAAGCTGCATCCCATGCAAGACGCCCATTTACATACCCAGTTTAGTGGAGCGTTTGAGACTGTGTTCTCAAACACATAGCCAGGCTGCTCATTTTCCTTTTGTTGCATCAGGAAGATCTAGTCATATAATTGAGAGCAGAACATCAGCTCTTTATAAATATTTACATTTCTTTAGTTTGTTTAATCTGCTCTAAGCTTTGAACGGGTATGAGTATATGAAGGTTAATACTCCTTCCTGTTTCCTTAAAGATAATAGTCATAAAACCATAAATTTTATAGGGGAAAAATGCCTGTGCAAGTGGAAAACAGCCTTAATCAAATGGTTTCTCTTAGATCCTTAGTAACTGGAGGGAAGAACGGTACCAGGGCGATGTTAAAGCTAGACAGATGATGCATGAAGCCTTACAGCTTCGTCTAAATCTGGTAAGAAAATCTTGTGTTGGTATGGAGCAGCTGCTCTGAAGGGCTGCGGGTGGCACTGCGGGGGCTGGCGCTCCCTGAGCACTGGGATCTGAGGGCATCTGTCACCTCCCTCAGGATGGAGACAGGATGTCAGCGCACGGATGGGGGTCAGGGTCAGAGCTGGAGGGGAGGAGTGCTCAGACACAGCCCTGCAGCGTGGGCTGAGGCCCTTGGCTGGGGACATGGGGACAGGTGTGGTGGCCCCAAGCGGAGCTGGCTGTGGCAGCAGGGACCTCAGTGCCCCCAGGCCGAGACACAGCAAAGCGAGGAGGTCTGTGCCCTTCCCACCTCTCTTGTTTCAGACTAGTTCTGATGGAAAGGCTTATTTTGCATTAAAATACGATACTGGTAGAAATTAGGAAAAATTGTTCATGGGGTAAAGCGTATCATGTAGCAGTTTTCATTCACTGCTGTCTTGTTGCTCACATCCTTTTCTGTGCACTGGTTTGTTTTTTGTTTTTGCATATAGAGGGAAGGCAATAACTACAGAGTTTTACTTCAGTACCTTTTCAGTTTTGAGAATCTGTTCACACACTTCAAAATTTGTTGCATCAAACAAGCAGGTGAAGACGTGAAGCTGTTTGACAGAGCACTGTAATGCTTTTCCACAGTTCCTTCTTAAGTAAAACTTTGCTGAGAGCATGGGGTGGGGAGGAAAGTTACTGGAGGTCAGCACATCAGGATGGCAGTCAGCACACAGGAAGACGTGGGGCTGACTGACAATTTTATTCATAAGTAATACACACGATAATGGAAGTGTGAGATAAATGCAGAGCTTTGCTGTCTGCTGCGTTATTTTGCAGGTAGGTGGCATGTTTGACACTGTGCAGAGGAGCACCCAGTGGACCACGGACTGGGCACTTCTGCTCCTCCAGATAATCACTTCGGGAACAGTTGATATGCAGACTAACAAGTACGTGCTGTTTAAACAAGCTATTTAATGTGGTGTTCAGTCTAGATTGGATGTATGCTATCGCTGTGTTTTTCTTCTTATTATTCTGTGACTGCTTGGCTGCAACTTACGTGCTCAGAGGTGGGCTCAGCTGGGGAGCACTTCTATTCTGGAAAGCACTGGAAAAACTGTTTGCATGGCTTCTTAATGAGCATTTACCTGGGCACGTTCCGTAGCAGAGCTGTGGTTCCTGGTGGCCATCTGGCAGCAGCTCTGTGCTGTGGTGCACATGTATGTGTGCACGGGGACGATCCACCAGCACGTACACAGGGGCTGCGTGTGCATGCTGAGATGTGTGCCTGCAGAAAGCACTGCAGATTCAGCTTCTGTAAAGAGCTGTGTGCCTGGCCCTTGCTGTGAATGTCTGCCCTGGGTCTCTCGCCGGGCGGCAGCTCCTCACAGTGACATTTGTCATTCCACTCGCAGCGACTTGTTCACAACCGTGCTGGATATGCTGGGCGTCCTCATCAACGGGACGCTCGCCTCCGACTTGTCCAGCGCGTCCCAGGGAGGGCCTGAGGAAAACAAAAGGGCTTACATGAATTTGGTGAAAAAGTTAAAAGTAAGTGTTGTGTCTCATCATTTACAGCGTTTCTTTTGAATCTCGTCGTTTCTGGTGCCTTGGAAAGAGAAGGGGGAATGAAGTGGCATTAGTGATAAGGAAGGGAAGGAGGAAATAAGAAATTAGGAATGCGAGGGCAGGGAGACAAACTGCGAAGATAATTCTTATTGTTACATTACATTCAGAACCCTGACAGAGACTTAATTGCTTTTTTTTTTTTGTTCATGTTTGAGGCACTAAACTTGCATTCACTTTGTGTTACATATGTTGCATGATCTGCTCCAACAAGGTAACTCGTTTTCTTGAAACAAAGCTAAACAGGCCTGCAAGGACACTTGTTTAAATTTAGTAAAAGCACAGGGAAATGATTCATCCCCTAACTGGACATTTTCTAATAGTGAAAGCAGTGCAATGTTTCTCTTCCTTTTTTTCCCACCTTCCTGTTTGACTGAGCACTTTGTTTATCCCTTAGAAGGAGCTGGGAGACAAGCGGTCGGACAGCATTGACAAGGTTCGCCAGCTGCTCCCTTTGCCAAAGCAGACTTGTGATATTATTACTTGCGAGCCAATGGGATCCTTGATCGACACCAAGGGCAACAAAATTGCAGGGTTTGACTCCATTGATAAGAAACAGGCAAGAGTAAATGCATACCTTCATCTCTGTTTTTTTGTAATGTTTTGATGCATGGGAAATCCAAGTAAATGTGTACAGCTTGTATAATACACACATTTATATCCAGTATCCAAAAAGTATTGTACTTCTGCTGGAGTACAGCTTGCTAATGCATTCAGTCCTTATCAAACTTCAGCCTCAGCAATGCAATCCCTGTAAACTGAGCAATGATGCAAAAGTGTGCAGTGCCAGGTCTGCAGGACACCGCTGTTCAGTTGTAAGTGACTGACGGGGTTTTGGTACCCAGCGTAATTCTGGTTTCAATACACATGCAGGGTGTTTGTTTGCATGATCCACGTGAAGGTTCTTGGGCAGTGTGTGAAGCCAGGAGTGGGTTTGGAGAGGGGCTTTCAGATTCCAGCATCGTAGCGTGATGTGTGCAGTACCACCATCCTGCATCAGCACTGACAGTGCTGCTGTCCTTTCCTGACACCTCTCCCAAGTGGCAGATAGATAGGTCAGAGCTCTTCATCTGAGTGCCTCTGGAATGGACACAGCTTCATGCCACCCATACAAGCTCAGGGGTTTCTGAGACAGAAATCACTTTCTGATTTGTCCATAAGTCTGTCACCAAACCTTGTACAAACCAGAGCCGGATGATCCGTAGAACGCGGCCGATTTGTGACTCCTCATGTAATGAGTGCTGACAGAAGCTTGCTTGATTTTGCATTCCAACGTCTTGACTGACCGAGAAGGAAAATTATGTCTTCTTGTAGCTGAAGAGCAGAAACTCTTACAACAGTGTTTGCTTTCTCAGCAGAATCCTACATGTGAGAGCTTGATTGACCTGGAAACCTTTTGTCCTCTTACATGCTGGGAGGACGATGCAGGGGGTGCTCCTGCTCACAAAACATGGAGGAAAGAAAGAGAAAACACAAAGTGTGCTGATAGGGGTTTTTGCCAGCATTTTTTTTTATGGTGAATTTATGGGAGGAAGAAAGCTAGAACTTGTAATTCTGCAGTATCTCGTTTCCTCCTAAACGTGATTGGTGGAACTTGAGATTTTTAGCATGGCTACAAGCAAATGCTACTATAAGAATATAACAGCTTCTATCCAGCAGCAGCTTTAGATGGAGGCTGGAGGCCCATCAGCATGCACTTGGTACGTTCTGTGGGGGGAAAGGACCCTCACTGGATTTTGTGACTCAAATCGTGGTGAACAAAAGCAAGTAGTTTGCGGTGGTGTTCAGCTTCCCTAAAGTGCTGACTTCACTTTTATTTTAATACAGGGTCTTCAGGTTTCAACAAAACAAAAGGTGTCCCCTTGGGACTTATTTGAAGGTCATAAAAATCCCGCTCCTCTCTCCTGGGCATGGTTTGGCACCGTTCGTGTGGACAGGAAGGTGATCAAATACGAGGAGCAGCAGCATCTGCTCCTGTACCATGCGCACCCCAAACCCAAGCCGCGGAGCTACTACCTCGAGCCCTTGCCTCTGCCTCCAGAGGAGGAGGAGGAAGAGCCCACCACCCCTGTGTCTCAGGAACCAGAAAGGAAGTCAGGAGAGCTCTCTGATCAGGGAAAACACGGCACGGATGATGACAAGAAGACAAAGGGCAGGAAGAGGAAGTCAAAGTCAAGCTCTAAGGCTGATGTAAGCGGTTGGTGCCTCGTGCAGAACTGGGAACATCCTGTCACCTTGCCGTCTTTGCTGCATTCACAAGCTGTGCCTTACCTGGGGGGGTTCCATCAAAGGGAGAGAATGGAAATGGTCAGCAGGAGGCTGGGTTTCTATCAAACACAATCAGTGTAGAGGAGTGTACTGTGCATAGGGCCTTCTGCGCTATGTAAACGGCGCTGGGCTGGATCTTCGCTCACTGAATATTGCTCATGTTCTATGCATGCTTTCTCATTTGGTGTAAAATTATAGCAAATACATTCTTTCTCACTTTCTGAAATTCCTCCTGCTCAAACTATGTTCTGAGAGCAAACGTGGGCTCAAACTTGGGTCCCATTCAAACAGAGAATAATTTGAAAGACACTCTTCCACACAGCTACACCTTTTTACCATATAGCTTGTTCAGAGCCGCTGCTGTGTTGGCCCTGTTGGTTTGCATGTTTTTTGAGGTGTGGGTGAAGGTCACAATAGAGCAAGGGTTTGGAAGACATGCCCAGCACCGCCTGCACTGCAGCTACATTTGTCATTGTGCGGCATCTTAAACAAACGTAACTCGGACACAGTTTTCTGGCCTTTTTGATATTTCAGTGAAGGTCCTCCTGCTGTTTCCTTTCAGATACAGAACGGTACAGATACGTGTGCCTGTGCTGTGCCTAACGGTAGCCTGCCGAAGGTGCCTGCTAATAAGATAGAAATGGATGGCGTCTCGGTGAAGTTGTTAGTGTTAATTACCTGTGGGCAGCCTGAGACTTAATCTGTTTTTTACATCATTGCAAACGACAATGGGAACTCTCTCTATCCTTTAATAATTTAGTAGGAAAATCGGCATTATTTATGAGTTAGTAAGGTATGAATGTCAGTAACATTTGCTTTTCCTGTGTATTTTAAGGAATATCCACCGAACAGCGCATACAGAGTGCCTCCCAATTACTCGCCCGTTCCCTCACAAATGATGCAGCATCCTCAGTCTGCCTTGTGGGGTTACACCATCGTGGGGCAGCCGCAGCAGCCTGGCTTCTTTGCGCAGAACCAGCCCCTCCCTCCAGGTATGTCTGAGCTTTGAGCTCACCTCTGCTCCTGTTGCTGGGTGGTAAATTTGACTTAGTGCAGCCGGGTTTTGTTCCTGACTCTGAGGCAGGCTGTGACAGCAGTGCCATTTGTTTTATTCCTGCAGTTAGCCAGTTTTCAGAAGAGCTCTCCGTTGGTAGGTCTGCCTGTGCTAAGCTGTTGAATCTGTTTGGTAGAGAAGCAAGAATGACCCGCTGATGGTTTGTGGTGCGTTTTTTGGGACGCTGATGGGTTTTTCTTCTAAGAAAGCTGTAGGAAAGCTTTCTTTCTAAGAAAGTTCAGAGAGAAGTTAAATAAGGGAGAGATGATTAGAAGGAACAAATGACCTTGGGGCTATTTCATTTCTTACCTGATCCGGACCAAGAGCCATGGTGGCTAATTTAACATCTACAAGATGGAATAAATAATCAGCGGGCTGACTTTTTTTTATTTTTCCAGCATTTGGGTTGAGCTGATTTTTTTTTTTTGTACATTTGTTTTGTTTCTTCCAGGCAGGGTGTAAACAATTTAAGCGACGTATTTTAGAGCTGTGTGTAGCAGATGTTTTGAAAGATAGATGTTCTGCTCTCCTCAGGTATTATGCACAGACACGTAGATGTTTGCTTCCAGTTATAAATGTCAAATACTTTTTCTAAAGCTCCAAATGTAACTAAATCTGCATTTAAGATGCATAAAAGTCTTCAGAGAATACCAGACAGTGTCTAGGAAATTAAGAAAAGATCATTAAAAAAGCAGAAAGAAAGAAGTGGAGAAGATGTACCTTTGTAAGTCTATGGACCTATAGGTCCATATTTTTCTATCAGGCAGCACAGAATGCATTAATTACTGCCATCTAATGATAACATGGCTTGTCATGATGAGCTGTTCCTACCATGTTTTTGATCTGGCATGTAATTTTTGCTTTTCAGTAGCAGTCAAACATTGTGTGATGTAGAGGATGCAGCCCATAGCCTTTTTACTTTCCATTCTCATTTGCAAGTGGTAGCTTTCAGAGCTCTTTTGCCCTTTTAATTTTTCCAGCCAGAAATCTGGTTTAGTTCAGTTCCTTGCCTTCCTTTACGGAGATGAGCTTACCATCATTATGATAGAGCCAACCAAGTGGAAGCCAGTGAGTTAGCAGCGATCTGTACTGACAGCTTTTGCACAGAATGCAGCCGAATGTTTGTGCTCTGGGTGCTTTCAGGTGGTTCCAGGCTGGATCCGACGAGCTCCTTCGTCCCAGCCAACACGAAGCAGGCCCTGTCCAACATGCTGCAGCGGCGCTCCGTGCTGCAGCCGCCCTCCCTCCACGCAGTCACACCTCAGCAGCAGTTGCTCCAGATGAAACTCCTGCAGCAAGAGCAGCAGCAGCGGCTCCTCAGGCACCAAGCACAGGCACGGTCTCTCCAGCAGGTTTGTCCAAAGCCCCAGGGCTGATGAGCAGCACAGCTCTTACCTTCTGCTGAGGCCGTTTGCCCTGCGTAGGCTTACCGAGTGGGGAGCCAGCTGACATTTACAGTCGTAGTAACTTCTGAAGTATTGCTTAAGTGGGGTCATCACTGTCATAGTTCCTGCCCCTGGGTCTCGTAGCCCCTTCTATTTTCACTGTTTCCTAAAATCAGATTTTGCTTCTCGTATTTGATGTTATAGCAGTCTCCTGTTGTTTCACCAGTGGCTCTGCTGATGGAATGGCACGGTGCTGTGTACCACCACACTACCAGTCAGCAGCAAGTACTCCTTACCTACAAAAATTCCAGGGAAAATTCCTGGAATTCCAGAATTCCATCAGACGCTGTTTCCATACACATGCACACAGGCATGCATGTTCTCTAGAAGCACCTGATATTTTCTCCTAATGCTTTGCAGTGTAATGTTGCCATGTGCCAAACCACATATGCCTGCTGTGCAGCTCCTTTTGGAGCCCGAGCTAGTTTTTAGGACATGGTTACAGCCAGGCTGCTGCTGAATTGATGGTGTCAAGAGACAAAAATTGGTTTTCCTATCCCAGACAAACAACAGCGTGTGTACCATAGTTGGTGGTACAACTAGTAACTGCTGACTTTTAAGGCCCTTCTGTACCCTTTCCTACCATCTCTGAGGTCATCTATCTTGCACTGTCCTTATGCTAAGTTCTTGCCTTCACGCTCTGTGATGTGCATATGTTGCTCAAGGCAGGCAGAGTTTTCAGCAGGTACCCTGTGGTTCCTCTCATGCTGTGCATTCCGTTGGAGCTCCCTCATCATCATTGTCGTCCTTCTTCACTTTCTCTCTTGTGATGCACACAAAGCCCAGACCCAACCTGGAGATGCACCAGGTCCAACCCCAGCCTCGCTGCCCTGCACCATGCACGACGGGGTCCCGGGGTGCACTGCCTGGTGACAGGGCAGGAAATGCTACGCAGGTCTGTGTGCCTGCACGGAGTGTTTGGAAAGAGAGGAACAAGACAACGTGTGAGCACTGCTACTATGTGACGTAGGTTGTTTGGCCAAGCTTCAGTAGGGAAGGTTTCCTTGTATTTCATATCTCTACAGCTGGAGAATGGAACTCCCTGCTCAGCCTGAGCCCATGGAGAGGATGGTTCTGTGACACCTGTTTGTACCAACCAATCTGCAGTGCTCTTTTACAGGAAGGGCTGTGTGCAGGTTTTGCAAAGAGCGTGCTTTGTCCAAAAAATGTTGCATGTTATACGTAGCAATAGTAGGCTCTTGTGGATGGCAGGGAGTCCTTTCCATGTTCGGTGTTTCATAAATGTTATAAAAATACTGAGGCTTATTAGTGTCATGGAACACCCAGAAGGACTCTGCCATCATTTCCAGCACCATGTGCTGTGGGTGCAGTCAGGTGGGCACTGTGAGGGTGCTGTGCTGCTCCACCAGAACTCTAAGCCTAGGAATGTGTATTGTCTGTATTGCTTGCTATTTTCTTGCCTGTCCTTTTCCTTCAGGATGTCAGTAGCTCTGCTGTATCCCTTCAGGATGGCTTTGACAACATAATGGTAACTGCTTGGGGATTGTGAACTTTCTTTCTCTTTTGCACAGTCATTCCTTCCAACACGCCGGCTGTACTCTGCTTTTAATGGGAATGATTTGCTTTGGGCACTCCTCATGGCTCAGCAGTGCGGTGGCTGCATGGAGAAGGCTGTGAATATACTTGCACACACAAAATATTTTTGTTACAAACATTCCCAATAACTGCATCATCACTGTTTTTTTTCCTCTTCAGAAGGTGTTGTGTTTCTCACTGTGAGAGGTCACAGCAGTCTCAGTGCTCCCTGACACCACATCCATCCAAGCATGGCTTGTGCTCTCCCATTTTGCCCGGCGTTGCAGCCCTGTGCTGGGCAGGGCATGCAGTGGGAGCAGCCCTGCTTTGGGCCCTCTGCTGCTTAGAGATCTGTGCTGATGTTTCACAAAACTCAGTCATTCCTGGGGAAAAGAGGTGATGTCAGTGTCTGTGATGTGAACTTTCTTCCTTCTAAGGCAGGAGAAATTCTTTGCAAAACTCCATTTTAAAGGGCACTTGCCCTTTAAACAGCAGCAGCCTTGTTGGCAGATAGCTGCAGTGCTGCAGTGGTGAAGAAGTGCCAGAGGTCAGGGCCAGCCCTGCCCCTGCTCCACAAGCAGCTCAGGGCCATGCACTTCTGGAGGAACAGGGGATCCTCTCCCTGTTCCTGCTGTCTTGTCAGGAGCAGGGCCAGTCTGACCACATGTGTCTTGCAGGGTCAGCCGATGGACCCCGCTGCTCTTTTCACCCCGCAAGTCCAACCCACGCCGCAGCTACCGCAGTACGCAGGGCTTCAGCAAGCACAGGTACTGCACTGCTCTGCAGTGAGTGCACAGCAACAAGTGAAACTGAGCCCCTTCCCTTCCAGGCTGGCCGGCCGTGCTGGAGGCTGGGATGGTGCCTGTGCCCTGGGGTGGTGTGATGCTCGGCCATGGGAGCTCGCTGCTCTCTGCATGCCACAGCTGTAAATAGCTGTAACTTGCGCATTTTTCCCCAGTGATGTTCTGGTAGAAGACGAGCATGCTTCAGTGCCAAGTCTGTAATGTGACCTCTTTTACAATGACGCTGGTTTATGTAACTCCAACATGAAGCTCCTCTCTGCCTGCTTTCCATGCAGGGCATGCCCCACGGGTACACGATGTACAGCACCCCGATGCCCTTGCAGCAGCAGCAGCCCGGCAGCGTGGTGCTCTCTCCTGGCTACACCCCGCGGGCGTACACGGCCCACTCCAGCCCCGCGCTGATGGAGCGGCTGCGGCCGGGGCAGCCGGGTGGCGTGGCTCAGCAGCAGGCAGCTGCCTACATGCAGCCCGTGGCGGGCGCTCAGCGGTGAGCTTCTAACCTTCTGGGAGCTGTAACCTTGCAAGGTTTAACCGTGACTTCGATCTAGAGGTCCAAAGTGTTTCATGCTTGGTAGTTTTTTCCATTATTTCAGGAAGTAAGAAGTCCTTATAATCTGTTTTGAATCTCTGGAAATGTAATTAACTATGGATGTTTTTCTCAGAGAACACTTCAATGCTTATTAGAGTGCTTGCTTGAAATGTAGAGGCTCATTGCTCCTTCTAACAGAGTAAGAGTGAAATGGTGTCCTGCCTGCATCACCTGTAGCGTGGTAGGACGGTGCAGCTTCTGGTTTGGGTACTTCTTGAAGCATTCCTATTTGGAACAGTAGTCATCCTGTAAAACTTGCATCTTTCAAATCTGTTGAAGCCTGATGTTACAGCTTTTAGTAGTGCTCCTATACTATCTCTGCTCTGTCTTTAAGTGAAGTAGAATACCTTTTACTTATTGTATTTTTTTTCAACCAGGTTGACCCATCAACCTTTGCAGCCAAACTCATTGATAGGAGCAGGCCTGGACAGCACATCTACCACACGTACCCATCCGAGCCTGAGCTCAGCACAGCTGCCCCAGGAGCAAATGCGACAGAGGCAGCAGCAGATCCGACAGCAGAGACTCTTCCAGGTGAGGAACCCGACTGCCCTGAAGGCTGCAGGCGCTTCTCTGCAGGGAATGCATGCATCCTTCCTTGGTCCTTTGGAATTATTTCCATGTTTCCATTGTAACGCAATGGATATCTGTGCCCATTTCTGACAAATGGTGGTGCATTTCATCTGGACATTTTGGTGTAATAAATTAAACATACCAGCTTTGGAATGTATTTTGGTTATTACAAACGTCTCAGCTCAATGCAGCTGACGATGCAGAGCTGGAGCACCAGAAGGCTCACACCTCCTGGGACCTCCTGTGTGCAAGCCCAGGTCCCAGCCCATACATTGGCCATGAGCAGCTGTGGTGCTGTCTTAGGGATGCTCCCCGAGGTGCTGTGTGTGCAGTTGTCTGCTGTCTCAGGGCCTATCTTCTTTCAGATGCAGCAGGGGCAGCAGCAGCAGACTCTTGATCTCCAGCCCGTGCAGCCACAGCAGCCCCTGGTAAGTGGGATGGGTGATGAGCATGGGGCAGGGGCAGAGTGGGTGAAGCTTACATTGAATTTGCAATGCTGTTGTCTGTGTTTCCTGGACATGGCCATTTTTTCCAGACATGTTTAAGAGGATAATTAGAAAAGGTTGGTCTGGAAAAATGGAGAAAATACAAGCGACACTAAGTTTGCCAGCTGCCAAGTCCAAAGGCATTAATGCAATTTGACAGAGAAACCAAAAGGCAGTATGCAGGTGTGGGAGGAGTAATAAACGAGGGGTCTTCATCTGATCACTACTGAAAGATCATTTATATCCATTTCTAAGCTTTTCTCAGTATTCTTGTCTTGAGCAGGCTGCCTCTGATGGGTTGCCACAGAGGCAGAGCTCTGCCAGGCACCCGCTCCTCCAGCAGCAGAGCACTCCGTGTGGGTTTCACATCCCCAGGAAGCCCTGGTGTGTGGTTAATACGTTTCACTAACCTCAGCAGTTACTAGAGTCAGAGGATTACACAATATATTTTAAGTAAAGGATTGGTTTTCAGAAAGAGAAAAAAAAGCTGAAGTCTTCCTAAAGCCCTGGAAGTCCCTTTGGTTAGCCAGGGTTTCACTGAGAGAAACAGCAGATCTGCGCAGTGTGTGCTGCCACCGAGTGTCACTGCGCTGCACTTCAGGCAGCACGTGAGGCTGGGTGGTGTGTTGTTAAGTAGAGAGTATGGATGCTGTATGTAAAAGAAAAAAAAGCACATAAGTAGAAGCACGTGTCCTTTCATCAGATCTAACGAGAAGAAAAGCAGTCGGATTTTGAAAACAGACCAAGGGAGCTCCAAGGCCCTGCAGTAAATAGGTAGTTCAGTAAGTGGTGACAGTTTGACTTCAGCAGCCAGCACAGCAGTCCCTCGTGCATCACAGTCCCTCAGGAGCAGGGAGGTGTCAGAGCTGTGCCATCAGCTTTCTGTGCTCGGCACCCCCAGGCAGTTGGCACACAGGTTTCACTTCATGCAGGGGACATCTGTGCTTCCAGAGGGAGGAAACACCTCTGCTGTGCACCACTTCTGACTCCAGAGGAACCCATCCTAGCGGCACCATTGCTTCAGATGGTCTGACCGCCCAAATTTATCTGTTGTGATTTAGCAGCTTGACTGGACAGATATGTACTTCAGTGATGGGTTGGCAGTTGGATTTGATGATCCTGGAGGTCTTCGAACCTTAATGATTCTGTGAGTCTGACCTACAGGTAGCTGACCTATTAAGTTATTAATAGTGATTTTCTTCTGGCTGATGGGTAGAAGCACCGAAAACAGAACAGTGCTTGTTCTCCTGCCTGGTGTCGCAGAGAAATACATTGCATGGGCTGTTCAGCTAGGGAATAACACATGCTGTCAAGTGTACCAGTTAGAGACTGAATTCTGCTTTGATGCGGTGTAGATAGCGTACAAATTTGTGGAAGTCCATGAATTTACACCAAAGGGTGCTTTCGAAAGGATTGAAGGCACGATTTAGTTCATTAGCAGCAGATTTCTTTGGAAGCTCTCAGTGTTTGATTCTGTCACACATAACAGTGTGCTGTGGGAGGGTTGCCTTGCTCCCATGGGCTGTGCTCAGGTCAGAGTGAGGTTTGGCACATGCTGAGCATTCTCCACCACAGTGGAACAGTGGAACAACACAGTGGAACCAGCAGCCACAGCCCTGAAGCATGTGAACAGCTCTTCTTTGTGCTTATCCTTCATGTCATTTGAAGTGCCACTGTCCTGAGAGAAACATCTTCCTAGAAGTTTCTTCAGCTACACAAGGGTGTTTACAGCTGCCAAAAGGACATTAGTTTTGATGAGCAGTTCTGGTTATCTGTGGCTTTGAGCAAGACAGAGAGCAAAGTTGCTGAAAGCAATGTGCAGGATAACACCGGGCTCTGCAGGGGTGGAAAGGATGGGGAGACCAGCAGCGCACACTATGACACCTGTAGTAGCATTGGAGACATGTGAAATGTCAGGGCATGAAGAAAACATGTCCTGGGGGTTCTGAGCGTGTTTCCTGTGTCCTCGCTCCGCTGTGAACATGTGCTCAGGACCTGCTGCTGGGCAGCTCTGCCTCTCGCCATCCTTCCCCACTCTGCCGGCCGCTCTCCGGTCACACTGCCTGCTGGGCTCAGGGCCTGGAGCCGTCCCTGGGAGATCTGTGCTGCAGCAGCCAATGGTGGGCTCAGCTGGAATGGGAGCGTTGCTTTCTGCGCTACCAGCGTGCGCTCATGCTGTGATTTCTGCCACCTGTCTTTCCGCAGCAGTTCCCGAGGCAGGGCCTGCAGCAGACGCAGCAGCAGCAGCAGACGGCGGCGCTGGTCCGGCAGCTGCAGAAGCAGCTCTCCAGTGAGTGCAGCTGTGTCTGTCTGTCCGTCTGTGGGGGGATGTGCAGTAGTGTCCCACTAACGTGGGAGCTGTCGGTGGCTGGCAGCAGGCCCTGCACCCGGCAGCCATGTCACAGTGCGGCGCTGCAGCCGGCGCAGCTGGGGCTCTGTGGGTCACGGAGGGCCATGGCAGGGGCTGGCTGCCCACACTGCTGCCCCACCGCTCGCCTCACTGCTGTGTGGCAGCGACCGACGGCGCGCTGCTGCTGAAACGCGGTGCACTGCGTTCTGTGCAGCTCGTTCCTTTGCTTTGTCACCAGGTAACCAACCGCAGGGAGTGAACCAGTATGGGCATCCTTCACACTTCTGAGCCCAAAGGTGGGAAGGAGGCGGAACGTTCCGTTTGCACTGCAGAACAGAACATTCGAAATCCAATGCACTACTTATTGCTAGAAAGGAAACCTTCATTTCCTTCTCTTATTATTTTGGTAATTATTTTTCGTGCTGCAGTTGATGTGAGTGTGTAACGAGGTGGTTCTCGCGGGGGTTCGAGTTTCTTTGCTTTTAATTAGATTTAAATGTAAGGACTTGTGGACCTATCTGAAGAATGTTATTGCAGATTTTATGAATTTGGTGCTTTTTAGGTCCCGTTCCTTTTAAAGAGGACAGAGAATGTTGGGTTTGTTTGTTTATCCGTGGGAAACATTCTGTTGTTGTTACTATTTATTTTTTTAAGAACTGCACTGGACCAAACTGCTGAATTGAAAGGCACTCCTGACCTTGGCATAACAGTTGGTTTGTTCATTAAGATGTTCACCTCTTTGTTTGATGGTAGAACGAGCGTTGATTTGAATTGTGTTTATTTGACTGTAATTTTCATACGCACTTTATAAAGTTCTTTGTTTAAAGTACCAATTCTCTCTCGCTCTCATTGTGGTAAGAAGGTGCTGAAGTGGGTTTACTGCTTGTATTAGAACTTCTTAAAGTTTATATTAAAAGCCACAATGTAATGTTAATAAACCAACTGAAAGTAGCAGCATTTCTTCATATGTGGTCTTTGTAACGTCCCGGCCCTTGGTGATCCTTGGAGGAGCGCTGAGGGCTGGGCAGGGCTGTGGGCTGGCAGGAAGGCAGGTCTGTTTGGCTCTGGGTGGTTCAGTGAGGAAATCCCACCCTGGGTTTCACAAAGAGGGGCTGAAAAAGTCCTTTCTGCCACTTCTGGAGCTGCCACCTGCCCGCACTGCGTGCCCCTGCACGGCTGTGCCTCTTACCAGTGCGTCCTTTTTACTGACTTGGTGTGGTAACTGCTCAAAAGTCTGGGTTGGATGCTTCATTTCTGGCCGAGCTTCAGTGGTGTAATGTTGGTTCTGTGTGAATCAAGATTAACTGCAGAAATGAGCTCTGCGCAGAAGCTGTATAAATAATACCATGATGCTCTTCTTCATGTTTCTGGGTTGGCCAGCAAGTTAAGAACTTTGTGCTAATTGTAACTTCGGTATTGTCTACAACAGCAGGAGTTGTTCAAGCTGTAAGCTGTTATATTTGCCTTATGTTATCCCACTTACAAGATTTAATCATATAAAGCAGTTAACGTGTAGATTCTGATTGTCTTTTAAAGTGATCAGATAAGTCTAACTTACATAAAAATTATTTCAGTTGTTTTTTGTTGTTTTTTTGTTCTTACGTGGATTTTCTTATCCCCAGTGGAAGTGTACTGTTCTTCGTAACAGATAAAGTTGTCACAGATGCTGACAGGTGAGATTGGTGTAACCCAGCCTGTGTGGAAGGAAGCACACAGCAGACCACGTGCAGCTGATGTTCAGAAATGGTCATGCCAGCACAAAGGCTGTCCCAGCTGAGTATGAACTCTTAAATGAGCAAATAAGTAAAATCTCCAGCTCGATCATAACGTGGTTAAATGGGAGGACAGAATCTGCATGTAGCTCTTGGCACTTTCTCACTCATGAGAACTTTGTGGGATTTGTTGCGGAGGTTCGGATGCTGCGTAGCACTGAGGAGTTTCACTGCAGACTGTCCTATGAGCGAAGGATGTTTTATCCCAGAAGAGGTACGTTACACTTCTCGAACTTCTCTGTTGTTATTTTAAAGGATGTGAAGAGCTAGTCTTGGTGAGGTGAGGGATGGTGACCCTGAGCTCTCCACGTGTCTATTAGGCTTCCTGTAATGATAAGGGAGTGCTTTCACCAACAGCAGTCCCTGCTCTGCTCTACAGCTGCTGCAGGGCAGCGTGGTCCCCTCCATGGCACACGTGAGTCCCCAGTTGGTGAGTTCAGGGGGAAAGGCTCTTCTGGCCCTTCTGTCCTGGTGTTAACGCTCCTAGGAAGAGCGTGAGTGAGACACTCAGAGCTGGAGTTACTGATTGATAGTTATTTGACCAGTCCAGTTCACCGTTCGGTTGCGCAGAATGCATGTGTGTCCATTTCCCTCTGTTCTGAAGGCAAAAGGTCTCTCCTTAGACCTACCCAGTGCATGGAGAAAGCAAAATTCTCAGTTGACATGCAGACTGATGTAATTGTTTTCTAAGTGAGAAATCTTTAAAAGAAATGTTGTGATAATTGGAAAATGATGCCAACCTGGACTAAAGCCCAAATTCTTCTGAATGCATCCTCCCAACGTTCTGCACAAAAGACCGTGAATCAGTCTTCACTGCTTGTTTCACCAGGGAGTGTTTATTTTATAAAAATGTACCAAATAATCTAACATGTTAAGAAGGTAATCTGCAGCACAGTAAAATCTGTTCTTTGGTCCTTGGACATTCTTCCTTTCTGATCCATGCCACACAAGGTGAACATTATTAATCTAGTTTAAAAACATCAGTCCTGTACGGAAGTTCTCTAGGTGCGTTTCTAGAAAGTAATATCGTTCAATATTCCAAGTTTGCTGGCAGGGCAAAAGTGCCTCAAGTTCAGTTTTATTTAGGTCCCTTCGATCACTGAATCAATGCTGGATGGTAATGCTAGATCTAATTTCCTTTTTCTTTTTGGTGTGCTCATTGCAGAGTGAATCCTGTAAATGTATTTAGGCACTTATGTGCCTTCGGCTGCCTTTGATTAAACTTATTCCAAGAATGAACTCAGTCCAGCTGTATACTTGCTACCAATCACTCATTCTGTATTTCTTATTTCAAATGACATGAATGTATGTGACTGTGAAATCACTGCCAAGATGGTTCTTTGCTGTGCACTTGTACGTTCCAGAGTCTGACGGCCGGGGGTTCTGGATGATCAGCGTCCCCTGGGGATGCAGCAGTTCACTGCCGGGTGCTCGGCCGCGGTTACCTGTAGAGAGAACGGAGCGGTCAGGTAATTCCCATGTGATCTCTGGCTTTGGTATTCCCAGCGCCGTGCAGCTGAGCTGAACTGCTGCACCAGGCATCGTACTTATGGTCTGTGGGGGTCTGTTTGTAATCCTCGGAGGATAGGCTACAATGGTGACAGGCACGGTTACAGACAGATCTCCGGCGGGGTTGTGGGCCTTGCACACGTAATTCCCTCTGTCGTGAATGGTAGCTGCTCGTATCACCAGCGTGCCATTTTCCAGCAGGATGTGTCTGCTGTTGATCTGAGGTCGGTCCAGCACGTGGCCACCTGGAAGAGTCCACGCCGTGCTGGGTTTGGGGCTGCCGTCGGACAGGCAGTGAAGCGACAACGATTCCCCACTGATGCCCCTCATTGGCCCCTGGGGGTAAACGAGGATGGTGGGCTTCTGAGCAACTTCCAGGACGATCAGCTTTTCGATGTAGCCGACCTGGTTCTTAGCTGCACAGCGATACTTCCCGGCTTTGTCCCTGCTGGGGTTGTGGATGGTAAGGGTTCCATGGCTTCCTGGGAGGAACTCGGACATCCTGGTCCCCTTGGAGAACCACGTGCCATTGGGCAGCATCCAGCTTACTTCAGGTGGAGGGTTTCCATCCACAGAGCAGTTCAGTGTGATTGTTTTCCCAGGTTTTGCTATTATTTTTTCATTGAGTGGATTTTTAAACATGGGTCGCCTTAGCATTTCCAGTACCTCCAGCTGCACCACCAGCATGCTCTCTCCCCAGTCGTTCCGTGCCACGCAGATAAAATCTGCTGTGTCAGAAGGCCTTAGGTTCCGGATTTCGAGTGTTCCGTTTTTGTGCACGACAATCCTGCTGCCGTAGTACGGAGCTGTCAGGAAAATGTTATCGGGCATGATCCACATGATCTGGGGGGGAGGCATCCCTTCTGCCCTGCAGTCGATTTGTTTCTTCGAGTGCCTCACTGCAGTCACTTTAATGATCGTTTTGTTTGTGTATAAGCCATTTATGATAGGTGGTTTCGCAACAACATCCAGTTTATACAATTTTGTATCATCCCCTCCGGCGTTACGAGCAACACACATGTACTCCCCAGCATCCAGCAGCTTGGCTCGGCGGACTGACAGGGAGCCATTAGTGTGCAGCAGGTGCCTGTCTGTGGAAGAGGAGATCACGTCACTGGAAGGCAGCAACCAGAATATTTTTGGCTTAGGTTCCCCAGCAGCTTCACAGTCCAACAGCGCCGTATCCCCGGCTTTCACTTTAATGTACGTCTTGTGATTCTGCTTTATGCGAGGGGCTGCCGTGACGACTGTGATGTGTATTTTCATTTCATCTCTCCCCAGAGTGTTCTGAGCGTAGCAGGTGTAATCTCCCTCCTCTGTTGCTCCAGCTCTGTTGAGATACAGCGTTCCGTTGTCAAAGAGGACGTATCTGCCAGACCTGTGTCCGCTGTCGTCTGCCAGCATCGCGTTGTTGATCACTGTCCCATCCGGCAAACTCCAGGATATTTCTGGTGCAGGTGACCCGGAGGCCTTGCAGTCCACCTGGAAATCTTTTCCGTAGGGCACCAGTTTCTTGAAATACTGTTTCTGGTCAATCTTGGCTGGTTTCATTGTGATGCTGACTTTCATCAGAATCAGATCATCTCCAATTTTGTTTCTTGCGACACACAAATAGTCCCCCGCATCCTTTTCAGTAACTGCCTCGATAACCAGGGATCCATTGGGATACACGTGGATTCGACTTCCCATTCTGCTGTGGGGGAGAAAGAGGAAAAGAATTATGGAACAAAGTTCTGAAGGTGAATACTGAGTGCTGGAAGTGGCTTACACTATTAACTTGTTAAGTATGGAGTGAGCTTTGCTCCTTGATTTCCTAATTTAAAGTTCTATTTCATAAATTAAAAATTCCTCATGGTCTATATTCTGTATCAGATACCTGGCTAATTTAAGTACATTTTTAAAGGCACTACGCTCATGTTTCAGCACTTCTGTTTTCCTAGACTTCTTTCCTTTACTGAAAATACCAAGGCTTTTTTCCCACAATGTTGGGGTGTAAATGGTGGTGAATCAAATCTGGGTGCCTGCAGTGGATGAAAGAAACATAATGGGGCTGGGTCCTTCAGGAGTTGCTAAATGCTTACAATGAGCCTGAGCTGATTTTGCACGGTATTTCTTTACATCCTTGCTAATGCACCTCTGCTTTAAGCACCTCTTTTCCTCCTGTGCCTGCATTCAGCTCGAGCCTGCAGGCAGCAGGGGCTGAGAACATCACTGGTTCTGGAATGTGCTGCCTTTCACTCTGCCATGATTTCAGCCAGGAGATTGCTGCTGTTGGTACTACAGAGCTGTGTTCAGAAGTGAATTTAGCTCTTAATGGATCGTTCCAGTGACGTTCCACTCCCTCACACCAGCACTGGAGATGCTAGCACGTGAGTTTTCCAAGAGCTGGGGGAGAAAACAGGCTCCTACCTGTGCCACTGGTCTACGACCGCCTTGGATGGCAGCCTCCAGATTATCCTGGGCCGGGGCTCCCCTGTGGCCGTGCAGTTCAGCAGCAGTTTGTCCCCAAAACTGAGCTGGGTCATGCCCTGGGAGGCGGCAGCTATCCTTGGCAGTGTGTCCCGGTGCCGCACAGTGAGGGTCACCACCCGGCGCTCCGAGCCCGTGGAGCTCGTGGCGATGCACTCGTAGTTCCCGCTGTCAGTGGGCGCGATGCCGCTGAGCCGCAGGGTG